GCACTGCAATCAGTCGACTGCACGCCTCTTTCCTGTAAGTCCCCAGTCACACACACATACACCCACTACAATAGACTGCCAAGCCACCAATTAGGCCAGTTCAAAAGAAGACATCAGTGGGACAGTGAGTCAGAGCAGCTGAACAGACAGCTTGTTAACTTGTAAAATCAACTCAGATGCACACAAGCTGTTTGGATCAGAGAGAATAAATCAATTACAAACTGCGAAGAAGCCTCGATCAAGGTTTTCTGTCAGAAATTTTGCTTTAGTCTTTAAGTTTAACTTAACTTGTGCAGTTAGTGAAAAGCAGTTACATATACCATACTGCAGCGTTTCGGTGGATACACGAACAGAGCATGACTAAGACAAGTAAAGGATAAACGGATTTTAGGTGATCTAGGTTTGGAAACAGCACACAATTTAAAATTCAGGCCAAATACGTCACATAAAAATCCAGATTAAAATCAGGACTGCTTATGAAAGAAACCCACAAGGTACACAGCTACAGTTCTGAATCAGCTAAATGTACAGAAAATCTGTCTGCTGTGAGGATTTGTTTAGTTAATCCATTAAGGCCAAAGCTGTTGATTGATTTTTTTTACCTGAAAAATCCCCACATTTTGTCAGGAGCATCCGCAAAACTTTCACATCAAAATGAAAAGCTTGTGCTCTAGTAATGAAAGTCACTTGCCTGTGATCCAGAAAAAAATGTGTCGATAACACAGATGCTCTACATCTGATGTTCTCAAATTATATTGTGTATTCTCATAGCAGTAGTCAGTAGCCCCGTCAGCGAATATACTGTGGTTAGCAACTTTGGAAAAATGGCACCAGCAGCATTTTTCTATCTAATCTTATGATTTAAAATACGGAAGTATTATCAATTCTGTCTCTCTAGAAATAAGGTATATCTGTACATCTCTTCTTTAACTAGTTTGACACCTTTTTATCTGGCATATTTCAGTAATGGTGCCAAAACTGCAAATATATATATATATATATATATATATATATATATATATATATATATAGATATATATATATATATATTTTTTTTTTTATTATTTTTTTTTTTTTTTTCGGGGAATCCGTAATGAGTGAAATTAACCCAGTAATTCAACAATTGCACTTATAGTCAGGCTCACGGTTTTAGTATTTGAGCTGCCAGCACTCTGTATGGCAGAGTACATACAGCAGATGTTGTTTGGCACTTGAAAACTTTGCAAGAGATAATGAGCAGTGGAGCCAATTTAGGGATGAGCTCATGCAAAATATCCAAGTTTTGTTTTTAACAAAACATGAATCAAACATGTGAAGCTCAACAAAGAAAAACCAAAGCTCAACAGCACCTGCTTTAAGCACTGTGCAAGGCATTGCATACAGAACACAAATTACTCTTTAAACTTGGCATACTTGTTGCTGGTCTGAGTATTTCAGGAACTGCCAACCTACTGGGATTTTCCAACACAACCATCACTAAGGTTTACAGAAAATTGTATGGCTGAGATGACCACTTGTTAAACACTTACAAAAAAAGACATGCAAAAGAGCATCTCTGAACACACGGCACACTGAATCTTGAAACAGGCGAGCTACTGTAAAGCACAAAATTGAGGCTGCAGTTCATTCAGGCTCACCATAAGTGGACAAAAGAAGATTGGAAACATGTTGCTTGGCCTGACAGGTCTCAATTTCTGCTGATACAAACATGAAAACATGGATCCATTCTGCCTTGTATCAGTGGTTCAGGCTGGTAGTAGTCTAATGGTGTAGGGGATGTTTTCTTGGCACACTTTGGGCCCTTTTGTACCAACTGGGCATCATTTAAATGCAACAGCCTATCTGAGTATTTCTGCTGACCATGGCCTTCTCTTGTGACCCGATAATAGCAAGATGTAGTTAAAGGCCACTGAACGTATTTAAATGTATCAGAGTCACACCAGCTTCTTTTTCTGAAAAGTAGTAGTACATAGTCACAGTGTTTCCTGTAAATCACAGGTGTAGAACTCTAGGCCTCGAGGGCCGGCGTCCTGCAGGTTTTAGATCTCACCCTGGGTCAACACACCTGAATCAAATGATTAGTTCATTACCAGGCCTCTGGAGAACTGCAAGACATGTTGAAGAGGTAATTTCTCCATTTAAATCAGCTGTGATGGATCATGGACACATCTAAAACCTCCAGGACACTGGCCCTCGAGGCCTGGAGTTGCCTACCCCTGGTTTAGCTTAACAGTATTTAGCATTTTCAGTCTTAAAGCTATGTCCCAAAGCTTCATGTGCGTTTCATAATTTTGTGAATTTGAGGAATGTGTGACAGTGGCGGCAATGTTAATACTTCAATAAAATCTGTCTAAACCGTCTGGCTATGATTTTAAAGCACCGAGAACTAAATAATACATTTGATTTTAAGAACATATCACGTGTGTTTCCAGGGTGACTGGGACAAACAGCCCATACCAGCGGTGACCTCCGTCCTTGAAAAACCTCAGTACACCTGTAAGCGAGGCACGCTTCGCACCAACTGATGCCTTACACCTTCAATATGAGCAGCAGGGGGTTCGCAGGATGTTTCAGCCCGAGGAAAAGGGAGACCTCAAGAGTGGAAACCCAAACAAGTTCCCACAATTTTATTCAGTTTGCCTTGGTTTTTATGCGTTTGTTATCTACTTGCTGTAACTATATACTTATATAAATTCCTGCAGTCTGTGTTATCGTTAGTACATATAAATTCTGTTAGTAACAATCACATTTTTTCCCCCCATTGAAACCATTTAAAACTCTACAAATTGGGAATGGCAGGTATCAAACTAAATTAAAATAATGCTGGCAGTTTTTTTTTGTAGCTGTTATCAACAGACATGTTACGTTTGTGCAGAGACATAACATATCTGCATGTTTGTTCCCTGTGATCCTGTTGACCAACTCAAAACATTTGGGCTGGAAACATGATGTCATTTGGTAAATAATTACAATCTGTACTAAACAGCATAATAAGTGACTTGAGTGTTATTCAAAGGCAAGAAATTAAATAAAAATAATTAAAAATAAACACATTTTTATCCTTTCCTTAGTTAAAGTAAATGGATGGATGAATAATGAATGTCACAAAGTGTTGAATGTTAAATAGACATTTATTAATACACAAATCGCTTTGGACAGAAGAAATGAATGAGGGTTAACATTTGCTTTATAATTTGACTGGCCGCCACATCTTTCCACCTCTCATTTTTTATTCATTTTAAACTGGTCAAGTTTTTCCTCTCTAAGCATTAATAATAAACGCACAGTCCAAATGTACATCCAAACATCCAATAACAAGATAAATTTTAACAACAAGCCAGTTTTCCATCGAGAGGTTTTCAGTGTTTAATCATATTACAGGAAGAAGCTAAAAAACAAACAAACAAAAGAAACAGAAACTCTACCTACAATGTGATAAAAGAGCTGCAGTGTTTTATCAGCATGTTTCAAATTTCCCACATAAATCTCGTTATTAACCTAGACTGCTCCTGAGAACAACCATTGCAATGATTAATGGCCTTGTGAGCAGAATCGATGAATCATTCCACATTAGTAAACATTTCGTGCTGAACTGGTTTCAACAAGCATCGGCGGGAGAAGCAGGAAACACACATACAAATGCCTTCCATTATTTAGACACCTTTTTCTGAGCTGTTCACAGTGTGTGTGCTGGACTCCAAGTGTATTCGTGTAAGTTAGAGTAAACAAAACATTGTCTTATGAGTGTCAAACCAGATTTAGATGCTTGTGTAAACACTAAGAATAATTATAACTAAAAAAACAGCACCTACATTAAAGATAAGATTCTCTGTACATTAAGAGCATTTAGTCTTTTTTTTTAAAAAAAAAAAAAATCAATATAAGCCAAGGTATTCATCAACAACTTAATTTTTCCCAGCATGACATCTATAAAGTCATGTCTTGCGTTACTATTAGTTTCAAATTTAAATATTTAGGAATTATAGCAAAGATAAAATGAGAGGTTTACCTATGCATAAATTAACTGCTCGCCTTATTTAGCAAACTTCTATCTGTTAAAGAACAAAAGGCGGTACATTAACACATAATGCCATGACCATGAGGGGACGGATCAGAAGACAAAGGAGATCTTTTCCCAAAAGTGTTTTCTGAAAACTGCTGTCTTCTGTTATTCTACTTCATTAGTGTCTTGTTTCCCTGGTACGTCGTGCCTTTGGGTGTTTCTTTTTTTGCCTTCCTTTCTCTCCCAGGATGACTGCTTCAGATTTAGAGAACAAACAAAAAAAAAAAGCCTCTGGATTTTGTCATCATTATCAGCACAAACAGTTATTGTATTCTCTGTAAATGTCTGTATTGTTATGAGAATAATTTTACTCCCCATTACAGAGTATTAGTATAACCAAGTAAAAGGTCAAATTAACACCGCCATTAATATCAAAGTACTTCTAATAAAGGATAGCTTTCTCTTCAGCCTGATTAGCTTTTTCAAAGGACCTTCCCAAAAACTGAGAAGTATATTTATTGATATTTACTTTGGATAAAAACATCCAAATATCTGTTGTATCAGCTGTTTGTACTGTTTAGAACACACACACACACACACACACACACACACACACACACACACACACAACCAAGTTCTATCCAAAGAGTTGCACTGAAAACTCTACTAACAGGGTTAGTTGCAGATTAAGAGTTAACTGTCTTTACTATTTCTGGCTGTTGATCCTTTGACATAAACAACCAACAGATGTTTTAGTTATTATTAAAAAAAAAAAGAAAAACGGTTTGAAATGCATCATCCGTTATTAAAGTTCTTAAGTTAAACCCTGGAAAGATGAAGGCAATCTGGACCACAAATCCCTCGACTCTTAGAGATAATACGATCAGTGTATCCCTTGAACGTTTTCATGGTATTAGTACTTGCATGACGATTCAAACAGTGTGCTATTACTCTCAGAGTGGATATAAAAACGTGGAGACAAGAAACAGAAGCACCCTTAACAATCCAGTCATATCTGATTTTTACTGATGCACATTTTTCACCAGCTTTCAACATGCAACATTTTACAAATGAGCATAAAATCGATCATATGCACATGAGTCCCATCAAATCAGAACAAAATTAACAACATTTGAGATGAACTTGTATTTGACAGAAGACAAAAACAGCTGCTCGTACAAAAGGTTGTAAATCCCTCCACCTCTGGTGCCGTTCTGTAGCTGGTGTTTTTTCCGTCAGTTTTTACATGTGTGGTCTGATCTCAATCATAGATGCCCTTGACACGCTTATTCTCAGGGTCAAAAGGAGATTTGAGGTGTGCTTTGGCCTTGTATACTACTCCCATCCTCTCCAGGGTAAACTCACCACTCTTTATGAAGTTAGCGCTAACCTGATGAAGAAAGAGACGGTGAGAGAAAATGATAAGTCATAAAACACAAAAAAGACAGAACGATAAGCAAGTATGGGGAGGAGAATTTCAAATGTGTCAAACAAGGACACATTAAAGATGAAAATGACAAGGGAGCAAAAAGAGATGAGCAAGAATCCACGTACTTTGTAAACCAGAATGACGGAGCAGCTCATCAGGCTCACGATCCATCACAATTCACAAATTGCATACAAATGCCATTTGTGACTGTGCGATTTGTGATGGATGGTTCTGTATATAGTCCGTAAGATGACAAATAAAACCCTGACCCTGAGCACAGTTTGGTTGTAAATGCTTGTGTGCAAGTATCACAAAAATCTGACAAGTCATAGAGGAGGAACACCATTACTTGTTGGTTGTATAAAATACTGCTCCGAGCAGGCAGATTATTCCAGAACGGACAATGTGACTGCAGGAGTTTTAAAGCACAGGAAGCTATCAATTCCCTCATGACTCAGTGTCAGCTCGCTCGTAACACCAAGTGCTAATTTTCACTGACTGACTCCCCGACTCTCCCACTAATCTGTCACCGTGTCTCGAATTCATTCGCTGACAGACACATGCTCCATGTCCTGGAGCCTCACGCTAACCATACGCGTGCATACTACTTGTTTATTACTAATCAAAGAAAAACCTTGAGAAGAATTTAAATGCAGAAATACATGCAGGGACATATGACACATATCTAAGCAGATATTAAAATCACAGAAGTCAACTGCTGCACGCAACCTTAGCTACTAATCTAAGCTGTCTGATATTCAGTTATGACAACGGCTCGTGTGATCATTTTAGTTTTCTGCACTTTACTTTCAAGGATTTAGTAAACTCGACACATTTTTTTCACAACAGCGCAGATCTCTGCCATTTTCATATTTTAACACAAACACTGGAAAACGGGAGAGAATGTGGTCAGAATAAGTGTGGGCACTGCAGTGTGTTGGTGCTTTTAAGGCACTTACCACTCCTCCATCTGGATTGCGGATGTATCCATAACCAATAGTTTTGTCGATATAAAAGCCATAGTCGGCACGTCGGAGGTGACCAACAGGAACACCATTGCGGTAAATAGCCTCCAGACCAAACATCGGGACTTTCCTAAAAGCCACAGAGTAAGAGATGCAGATAATGATAACAGCTTTATCTCAAAACAATGTTGCAAAGATTTTGACATTTGACAATGAAAGACTGGAGGCAGTGTCAAGTTTTCAACAATACAACCCTGTTGCCGTTTCACTGGATTTGTTTGTTTTGGACCGCTTTTGATAAATATTAACCAGTGCATACCAGTAACAGCCCACAAGACCTTTCTGAGAAACTCAGACCCCGCCATCACAACTGACTGCTGTCAGTCGGTCAGAGTTTCCCGCTTCCAGCACATCAACTTTAATAACCGACTGTTCACTTGCAACCTAAAATACCTCATTTCCTTGACAACTGCCACTGTAACGAGATAATCAATGTTATTCATCTCACCTGTCAGTGGTTTTAATAATGTGGTTGTTTGGTGTATAAATACAGTCTCAGGTCTCAGAAAATGAAAAGATTTGTATTTTTTTTGGTGTATTATTTACTTCATAAAATAAGGTTATGAATCTTAAATATTAATAGTCAGAACTACTTAAACATAATATATCTAAAGATAACATTTATAAACTGCTTCACCTGTTCCCATCTTTCGCTCTGGAATAAAACATATATTTGATTTTATTTGATTTTTCAAATCAATGTTACATTTATTCACTGCACCATCTTTAAATATAATGATCCTGTTGCCTGGGAATAACATGGATGGTTGCTGTGCTGCTGAAAATATTTAAATTACATCTATAAATGCCCCCCCCCCTTAATTAATTTTCTTAATTTCTTTCTGATGACTAAAATATCATGTCACGACAGAAGCTCTACTGACTCATCAGTGGTGAAGCAGACGATGCGCCTCTTCAGTCCCTCCTTCTTCTGTTTCTCTAACATATCACGACCCTGGAAAGGGACTGAACTCTTCAGCTTGCAGGTGAAGGCTAGCCCCGCCTCCAGTGGTGTGTCATCAGGGCGCAGGTCGGCGTGCCAATGCCTGTACCCTTAAAAACAAGAAACACAAAAGATTAGAGTAAAAGCCATGTTTCCTGCATATTTGGTACAATATTATTAAAAGTAAACTTTGGCTGAGTTCCATGCTGGATGATTATTAAAAGAAATGTAGACTCAGTTGTTTTGTTTATTAGTTAAATCCTACCTGAGCTAGATTGGATATTATAGTTATAGATTTATGACCTTTAAATACAAGTTACCTTTCTCTATGCTGAGCGAGTCGATGGCTCTGTAGCCTGAGTTGATGATGCCGTGCTTTGCACCAGCAGCCATGACAGCACGGTAGACTGGAAGGCAGGAATCTTTGGGAATATGCAGCTCCCAGCCGAGCTCTCCGACAAATGACAGGCGCATAGCTCGCACCTGTGATGAGAGAGGGGTCAGAGAAGAGGCTTAGAAGATGGAGAGATGCACAAAGAGGACCGAGCTGCCATACTCTTTTTGTGCTCATTCATGCACAAACACACTTCATCCTTGAGGCCCAAATTTACATGGAATTCATTTTAATACCAAAAGCAGCTTCACAGAAAGCCAGAAAACAGAAGAGAAAAATCAGGACAGATGTACGAAGATACAAGGTGCACAAGAAAGGACAGGAGGGAAAATACAATCATACTGAAGGCATGAAAGACGTTGCTATGAATCAAAAGGAAAATGGAAAGCATTTTGCAATCTGTGTGTCATTCTTTATAGTTTGTCTTTTTCAATAAAGATCGTGTTAACGTTCATCATCTTCACAGCAAAAAATGCAGAAAAGGGAAGAGGAGAAAAAACTCCAGCGAACGGCTCAGGAGAAGCAACTGCAATCTGTTTACCTTCTGACAACTGATGAAGACTGCGAGTACAGACTGTGTATCCTGTCATTTCATTTTTGCAAAGTGAAAATCTGCACACAAATCTTCTCCTTCTATTTCTTCTTCTATGGTATTATGTAAGCTAAAGCGCCCTCACACCCTTACAGAAAACTGTGTGAAATTAATAAAGCAAAAATGTCAGCCAGCAGAATGGCCATGTAGTGGTTATAATAATCTAATATTTTATGCAGTTTACTACAACAGTGACAGCCATTTTCATTTTTAACTGGGAGTGAAATAAGATTAAACCATGTAGATAGCTTTGGGCTTGAAGCACTGAAAAACTGCAGGCTAAAAGTCTGCATTATTATTATTAGCACTGCTGTTTTAACGCCAACCTCAGCATTTGAAAAATGAAATGTATCATTTTACATATAGCAGGTATCTGTGCTAACCCCGGCAGTGTTTTCTGAGATGATGTCACATTTACCAGGCAATGTCTATCTTTGATAAACAATCCATCTTAACTTTTTTTTTTTTTAAGTTGTATGAGATGAAAATAAAAAGTTCTTCCTTCAGTTCCCTTTTCACTACAATAATATATATAATGTGTCAGTAATGTAACAAGAAGTCCCAGTACATGTACATGTTATATATTATAATTAAGTATGGCAATGTGTCTTCATTACAACGTTAACCACCAGGGAGGAAAAACAAAACAAAACAAGCAATACATGTAAAGATCTGAAATCAAGTTGCATTATCAGTAACAGCTTTAAAAATCCAGAATATGCCACTTAATCATAACAAGACTGACTCTGCTGCCTTAATTTGTATCAGATTCAACAAAGCACTGAAAACATTCCTCAGAGATTTTGGTCCGTAGTGACATGACAGCATCACACAGCTGCTGTAGATTTCTTTGGCTACAAATCCATGATGTGAATCTCCTAATTCAACCCAAAGGTGCTTTGTTGGATTGAGATCTGACCATGAGTATAGTCATTAGTCATTGTCATGTTCAACACCCTGGTTTGAGATGATTTAAGTTTTGTGACATGATGCGATACATGCTGGAAGTAGCCTTCAGAAGATGGGTGCACAGTGGTCATAATGGGATTTATTTATTTTTTATTAGTCCTTTATTTATCCAGGTAAAAAATCTCATTGAGATTAAAAATCTCATTTTCAAGAGAGACCTGGCATCATGGCAACAAAAGTTAAAATACACATACCACATAAATATATAACATTTAAAACAAATACAATATCCCATACCAACATGTGTAAAATATACAATAACAGATCAAATTAAGAGTACATTAAAAACAATCACATTGAGTAAAAGAGTTATTCTCTCGTTCCTTTAAGGTAACCAATTCTGATAATTTCAGTTCCTTCTGCAGATTATTCCAGGAAGCAGGGGCAGCGTATTTAAAAGCCTTTCCCCCCAATTCTGTTCAGATTTTTGGGATAATCAATTGTATGGTATTATGGGAACAAAGGCTGTACTGGTTGTGGTTTTTACACATATAAACACATAAATAAGATGGAACCAGCCCAACGAGAGATAGATAAAGATCAACCAATGGGAGAGTCTGCGAATATGCAAAGATAGACATTTAGCAGCAGCATACAAAGAACAATGATGTACACGATTTCCATAGCCAGTAATAAAATGTAAAGCACAATGGTACACAGTATCCAACCTCTTTAGGTAGTGGGCAGGTGCATTCATAAAAAGCAGGTCACCATAATCCAATAAAGGTAAAAAAGTTCTATGAATCAAGTGTTTTCTCACTTGGAGGGAGAAACAGGATTGATTTCTAAAAAAGTAACCTAGTTTTAGTTTTAACTTCGACACAAGCCTTTGGATGTGAGTTTTAAATGACAAATTCTGATCTATAATGATCCCTAGATATTTGTAAGGTGTGACCATTTCAATTTCAGTTCCTTGAATTGTTTTAATCTTAGGAGACGTAGCTAACAACTCCTTGCCATTTGAGAATAACATGAACTTGGATTTATCTGGATTTAACACCAACTTAAGTTGAGTTAAATGGGACTGAACTATATCAAAGGCAGACTGCAGAAAATGCAGGGTTTGTGCTACTGAAGGGGATGAACAATAAATAATTGTATCATCTGCATAAAGATGAAATGCTGCATTTGACAAATTATCACAAAGGTTGTTTATGTAAAGAGAAAATAGCAATGGCCCTAATATGGAGCCCTGTGGAACTCCTTTGGATACTGGGAGAAAAGAGGAAGAAGACCCAGCAGCACGGACACACTGTTTTCTTGCTGACAAGTAATTTGAAAACCAACTTACAGCATTTACAGATAGACCAATATTGTTTAGTCTATTTAATAAAATAGCATGGTCAACTGTATCAAAAGCCTTTGACAAGTCAAGAAAAAGAGCAGCACAGTATTTTTTGCAGTCCATTAAATTAACGATGTCATTAACCACTTTAATAGCAGCAGTTATTGTGCTGTGTTGTTTTCTCAATCCTGACTGATGTTGGGAAAGAAAGGAATTTTTGTCCAAAAAGTCTTTCAGTTGTTCACTAATGAACTTTTCTAGAACTTTTGCTAGAACACACAATTTAGATATGGGCCTGTAGTAACATCTGAAGGATCACCTCCTTTCAGCAAAGGGAGAGACAGTAACATGGAATTTGCTTTTTACATAAATTGCAACACCGCCACTCTCAATGGAAAACTGTATTTAGTAGTCAGTATAAGCTTTTAATGATATAAGTTTACGTGTGATAGAATACTGCATGATGACCTTTCTTCATGCAGAACTGATTGTTCTTTATAAAACGTGTTCTGATATTTCTATCTGAATCTTCCCCAGTTCTGACTGACCACACACACACACACACACACACACACACACACACACACACACTAAAATAAAATAAATAAAGACAAGTGCAAGAACAGAGCGCTGATCACAGGGCCCCCCACTCTCGTGTGAGCGCTCTGTGACCGCCCTTGCAAGTAAAATCTGCAGCGTGTGTGTGTCTTCACTCTTAGACTCTCAGCTGAAGAAGTGTCTTTTAAAATAAATCTCTTGACAGCCACCCTTTCTGAGGTGGTCGCAACGGAAAAGATTATAGCCTGTTATTGCAATGTCTTTGTCAGTAATCGATTTTGTAAGCCAGGTTTCTGATACTATAAGAATATTGGTATCTAACTCTTTCATCCAAACTTTCACAAAATCAAGTTTGGGAAGAAGACTTCTGACATGTAAATGAGTGATACCAAGACCTGTTCGAGTTTTAAAATCACAAGGAGTACTTAAGCATTTGCAATCTGGACCGGGATTAGGTTGCACATTTCCAGATAAAAGAAGCAGAAGAACAATAAAACATTTTCTTTTCACAGATTTTTTTTTGTAGGATTACAGACTGATTTCTCTTAGTGCCCAATCTCTTTGGGGGGTGAGAGAATTGGGAAATAAACCAGTGATATGGAATAAATCAGTTAAAATGAGATCTCTGCTGATGATCACGTTTGAGAAGCTTAAAAGATGTAAAATCCCACCTTGTTCCCTTTGAGAGGAGTAAGAAGTATGGTTTTTCTTGCTCCACAGACATCATGTAGACAAAAAGCTGTCAATAAAAACAAAGGAAAAAAAGACTACTGAGGATAACATGCTGACTGACAGATAGACCTGATAGACCTGTGGTAGAGCCTGGTTGTGGCCTGCTGGCTGGACCTGCTAGCTGATGGTGGAGCCTGGTTGTGTAGGAAAGCTTCTGGTTGTTCCACTGAACAACCAGAAGCTTGTTCAATATGGGAACATATTGTTCAGTGGCAATATGTCTCCATATTGCCATGGTCAGCAACAATACTCAGGTAGGCTGTTGTGTTTAAACAAAGCTCAGTTGGTGCTAAGAAGCCTAAATGTGTCAACAAAAAAAATGCCCCCACCCCTATTATAACACCACCAGCCTCAAGCTGTTGATACAAGGCAGGATGGATCTATGTTTTCATTTTGTTTACTCTAAATTCTGGCCCCATCTAAATTTCACAGCAGACATTCAGACTGAGACCAGATAATGATTTTCCAAACTTCTATTGTCTAATTTTGGAGCGCTAACGCAAATTGTAGGCTCAGTTTCTTGTTCTCTGCTGACACGAGTGCCACCTGTACAATGGTCCTCTGCTGCTGCAGATCCATCTACCTCAATGTTCGGCACTCTGAGATGATCTTCGGCCTACCTCGAATGTAACAAGTGGTTGCCTTCCCATCTGCCCAGAGCAGTATGACCATTCTCCTGGCCTCGAGCAAAGCATCAACAAGCCATTTTTGCTCAGACATACTGGTTATTTTCTCTTTTTAAGATCAATCCCTAGAGATGGTTCTCTGGGGAAAATCCCAGTACAGTAGATCTTCAGTTCTCAAAGTCACATAAATCATCTGTCTTCCTCATTCCGATGCTTTTTTTTTTGCTTTTTTTTGCCTGTCACGTTTGGCTCTTTTGCCATCAGAATTGTTGTCTAAAGGCAAAGAAAGATGCCCAACGGATTTACTTTACCAAATTGACCATCCCAGCCTTGGCATAATGGTCCATTTGATTCACCTTTTATTGTTTATTTTATTTTCACTTACTGAACATGGGACAGACTTGACTGGGGGAAAGAAGGGGAGAAAGAAAGAGGGAAAGAAAAACAGCTGAGAAGAGGGACGGGGGAGAAGGGCAAAAACCAAAAACCAACAGAATGAGCAGAAAAAGAAAAAAAGAAGAAAAAAAGAAAAAAAATGCATATATCAATCACCTGCTGAGAAAGAAAAAAGAAAACAAGCAGAAGAGAACAAGAGTAATAGAATAAACAACATCACAATGATATATGGGAATATGACAGTAAATACTAAATATTAAACATTATTGTGCAGCACATAAGATCAACAGAACACAGTGTGCTTTGAGGTAGGAGCCAAAAAGGGTGTAGTTTGTGGGTGTGATCACCCGTGTGTACACCTGTGAGCATGGACGCGCTTGTTTTGCAGGTCAACAGCATACCTAAATGTGTCGATTTGCTACCACATGACTGACTGATTAGATATTTTCAGCAATGACCAGTTGAACAGATGTAACTAACAAGGTGGCGAGTGAGTGTACAATGTTACAATGAAACAATATGAGAACACACAGGTGACAAATCCCATATTGCTCTTTAAAATGAAATCACATCAAATTCAGGTGAGAGAAAAGGAGATGGAAAGATCACATCTAAAAAAAAAAATTTAAAAAAAATATGAGAGAGAGCAAATAAAAATAAAAAAAAAACGTGGAGAGAAAACAACAGTTTCCCCAGTAGGTGTAGTGACAGCCAGGCCATCTGGCCATGTAGGGATCACCCTGAGTCCCATATGTACGCATGAAGCTCTGGGGAAGGTACATGTATGCCTGCATATATTCAAAATACACCCTGAAGCACATGAGTGACCAGCAATTATACATTTACCTGGAAAAAATCAAAGACAGATAGCTAAAAGGCTGACATATGTACAAGACTGCATCTACACATAAATTTGTATCTCCCTCCATCCCGCTGCACATTTGCTATTAGGAGAGAGCGAGAGACAGAGAAAGAGAGAGAGCGAGAGAGTCTAATGAGCTATGAGGGGAGCAGAGGGTTCTGGTCTCACAGCAGTGCAGCCATTAAAATGTCACCCAGACAAGGCCAGAAACCAGCTGGAAGACAGCACAAGTGGCACACTTGCACACAAGCAACACAAACACTCCTGCAGAGCTGTGAGAAGATGCTGACTGCAACCACCAGAGCGCTGCATAATTCATGCAAGACCAACTAAGAGAGCGAGTATGTGTGTGGACATATGTGTCGCTGCATGTGTTGGTACAACATGCTCTTTTTCCTTTTTTTGAGGGCAGGAAGTCTGTGGAGGTCAAAGGCAGAGGCTGATCACACTTAACTGCATCACCTCTTGAAAAATTTATAAAAAGACAGCTAAAAATGAGTACATGAGCATCATTTTTGCTCCTTTTCCCTTTCCTTTATAGCAACTGCACCTCCATCCCTCCCTTAAGATACCAACCAAATGTTTTAAAAATCGCGATTGGTCTTTTATTTGTACCATGGTATGAATACAAAGAGTTTCCCATGTCCTTCTAAGCCACGGCCTTATAAACTTTGTTTTGAGTCAGTAGACCTCAGGGACGGAGGAAGAAAAGGTAGAATGTGAAAAAAAATACATAAATTTTGGACAGACTCGACATGCAAGGAAGTCACAAGGACGCCTTGAGACACACCATCTGTTCCTCCTACACACAGTGTACAATCTTTGATGACTGAACCTTTTAAATAAAAAAAGAAAAGAAAATACCGTTTCACTCAACAGCATGCAATTTGCATAGTGGCATTTTTAATTAACTGCATTCTTCATTTAACTAAGACAGACAGGGTTATTTTGAAGCAGAGAAATGTAGAGCATCCATCGTGTACATGTGTGTGTGCATGTAACGGGTGTGTGAGTGCTGTCACCTGATGTCCTGCTGCAATAACAACTTTGTGTGAGGAGAAGGGGAAAGCTTCGTTGCTCAGGTCTGTGTCTAAAACCTCCTGTAATACCTCCCGGCTGCAAAAAAGGGAAAAAAAAAAAAAAAAAAAAAAAAAAAAACACCAATAAGAAGAAGAAGAAACTCTGGCAGTCATTCAACACATTTTCTGTATTTGTGCAACCAGAGTGCAGAAACACAATTATTGTTGACATTTTTTATGTATTTATTTTTATATTTTGGTATACGTTTTACCAGCACAAATAATGCTGGAACAATCCAAAAATGTACCAGCTCTTCTCCCACAATCATACACACACACACAAAATCAATATTACATAAAAAAAATGAGTCAACAGTAACAAAAAAAAAAAAGGGGGGGGGGGCTAAGTTTAGCTCACTGTGCTGCTTGTACATTTGTATGTTTGTGAGTGGGCAGGTAGAGAATACAATGTGTGAGGCCTCGTCAAAGAGATATTTTTTGTAATATTGTGGCAAGAAGCCAGGGATGAAGATATCAGGGGAAGGGTTAGAAATGCAACTGGAGGGGTGTCCTCTAATTCAAAAGAAATAAATGCGGAAAAAAAAACAAAAAACGAATGCTCTTAAAATTCCCTGCAGAAATATAGCTGGAATATGTAGGGTTTCTAACATATGTATGTGTGGAGGTCTCAATGCATGTGTGGGGCTAATAATAATTTTTTTTGTGCCATTTTCCAGTTCCTCCCATCCCTTTCTCACTGAACTTAAGAGCCCAACAGCAAAGGCTAATTAGCTATATATAATCAGTGAATTGCTCTGTTTTGTATGTGTGTTTGCGTATTTGGCAAAAGGGGCACTCGCAACTACCAATTTGTTTCTCCTACTTGCCGCATCACTGTGGCTCTCAGCTGTGCGTCTGAGAATCCGCATCCACACAAACAAGGCTCGATTAAAGGACGTCACATAATTTCATCCATTATACAGCGCACAAGGTGCATAATTGCAAAAGCGAGTGGTTAAGCACTACTTTTGCCCACTGGAACACACTGCCAAAGCTGCATGAGAGAAAGGCTGCAAGTTTAAAGACTCCCCTATTGAGTGAATTTGAATGAGACGACTCAGGGAGGGAAAACACGGGCAAACACATTTCCATAAATGCTGCAATCGCTCCTCTCCTCATGCTCTAAAGGGATCAATTTGCTTCGTAAGAAAACAAAACCCCCAAAATGCTGAGGAGCTAAAAATGATTACAGTAATGTGCGCAGAGAGACAACACAGATGCCAGTCTTTTCTAAATTACACACACACACACACACACACACACACACACACACACACACACACACAATCATTCACGGGTGAAAATATGCACACTCATGAAATAAATGTGTTTTGGATGCTAAAGAAAAGTCAATGAACTCCGTAATCATCATAGATATTGTCTTGTGTGTATGAGCATATAAAAATCACACACACACACACACCACACACATAGAGAGCACATACACACAGAGCACATACTGGACTATCTAGCAGTGACGCAGTGGTTTCCAGTTTGACGTAAGCAATAAAAGCAAGAGGGATAGAAAAACCTAGGAAAAAAAAGTGAAGATGACACTGAGCACAGGGGGTGTGTGTGAGAAAGAAGTGGATACAATCCACAGAGACAGAGAAAAGAAACTTAGGAGAACAGGAGAAAGAAGCAAAGCCTCAAGAAAAAAAAAAAATCGACAAAACCCACACAGGGAACGGAGTGGACTAACCCTGCTGCTGGTGAGAGGGAAGAACAAAGACAGAGGGCGGTGAGCTGGGGAGGAGAGGAGGTGAGAGGGGAAGAAAAAGATAGATGTGGAGTGCAGAGAATAAGATAAGGAATAGGTAAAGGTGGTGTAGCTTCACTATTTGAGTGTTGAGCAAAGGGAAACTGTGGGAAGGATAAAGAAAACATTGATCTCCCTCCATATCTGCAGTAAGATTTTTACTTGCACCGTGCACAAATTTGAATCCGTAGATTAAGAAATCAAGCTGATGTTGATGGTTGAAGCTGAAGAAATAATTGCTATGTCACAACAGGTCTTATGGAGTGATGAACTGAAATCTGAAATCTCAACATTATTGAAGCAGCTTGTGATCATCTTGAAGCGAGCAAAAATCATCCAGCATCCAAAGAAGAGCTTTGAATGTCCGTCAAGAAGCCTGCAGAACTTTCCATTAGTGCAACTCTGTTTTTGCCTTATATAATGGATTTCCGTTGTGTCTGCACATGTTTCAATAAATCACTGCACCCGTTTTCTCAAAATCTCTGACAAACTGCATCATTGACAGAGTCTATTGAAAATTATTTATGTAAGCCAGCAGAATTAACACTTAATCCTTGAAACTCATCACTAGTGTTCAACTTGGAAGCTGATGCAAACCTTCATGGGATTTATTATTTTCAGCTCTGAGGTGCAGAAGAGTGAACTTGAGAAGCCCTAAAAAATAATCTAACCAATAAATGTACGATGAGGTGGTATCATGCAGTAGTAGACTGCATACTGAGCAAGGTACCCCAGGTGTCCTGAACTTCACAAGGTTTACAAGGATTTTGCAGGTCAGAGTTGATATCAAAGGTCTCAGTACCCTATAGTCTCTTAACAGTTGGATACACACCTTCAATTGTTCTCTTGTTCATTTCTCATCTGGATATAAGTCATTCCAGAGTTAACATTCACTTCTAACCCTCTTGCTTTCCTCACCTTTTGGGCCCCTGGATGCTGATCATCCCCATGTCCTCAGAGTGGTCCGTCAACTGGCAGCGAAAGCCTTGATCCTGAAGAACTGTTTTAATGTGGTTCCAGTTGTGTTCTGCCACACCGCCTCCAATGGCCAGGTAATATGCATCACCTGGAGCAAAGTCAGATGGCGATCAGGTCAAGTATAAGAAAGAGAAAGACACATGAAACCACTTTATCTATAGCATACAGTTTGTAATCACAAGTGTGAAGAATCTCAGCTGACAGCTACATTAGGTGATCTGATGATGAGATAACAGAGTTTATTACATTAAGATGTTTTGAAAGTTGACTCTGTTGAATCCTTCCACTTGCTTTATGTAGATATATTCAGCAGGACTTGTCAAGAAATTTGCATAATTAATAGAGCGGCAGCAACTTTTTCATGGCATTTTAATTGCTGCTTCCCACCTAAGATGTCATTACGCAACATTAATTACTTAACAAATTAATTTATCTCCTGTGATTCATGTGCTCCCTGGGGTTTTTCAATCAGCAGCTGTGGTAATAGAAATAAGGGATACCTGAACAGATGTTATTTTCCAGGCTTTTTTTGATGTAGTGGAGTCAAAATGACAACATAAAGAAACAAGCTACTGCTGTGTAACGTCAAAAGGAGACACATCTTTCATGATATTCTCTTTTCTTGAGTGAGACAAGAGTAAAAATAATTAATAAATGTGGATAAACAGTACTGATTGGGCGAAAGAACCACAAATAACAGAGAAAAAAATAACAATAAGTCTGAAATAAGATAAAACAGAATAGCACATTATTAAATCCAATAAACAAAATACAACAGCTAAGCTGACAAATAGTGATGCGGAGATAGGGAGATGAATGAAATAACAGTAATAGGTAAAGAGTGCAGCAAATAACTGTGAAACACACACGTCTACACACTATTTCTCACCGCTGGATTCTGGTGCCAGGGGCAGGTTGGCCACACCAGGCTCCAGTCTGCTCACAGTCAGGTCGGCCTCTGACCTTCCTCTTTTATTCAGCATGCAGGTATACACAGTGGTACCTGCAACACACACACAAACAATTAATACGTGCTGCAGACTTTGCAGACGTATTTTAAGCATGCTGTTGAGTGGAAACATACTGATGGAAGCGTGCTCTATGTGTGAACAGGGATGAATATTTAATACATTCAAGTGTACTGACACTAAGTTCACAACTTAGTTGTTCTGAAGGAACAATAATCGTGGCTCTGATCCTCTTAACTCATAAAACTCTGCTTTTTTGTAGCAGAGTACTGTGCAAAAGTATTGTTTTGATTGATTGTTTCTTTCATCAAAAAGAGGGGTTAACCTTTCCCTTGGTTTTCATTTTACTTTAGCTCAGACTTCTAGCTGTTTTGACTTTGCTTTCTGTGATAAGTAACAAGAAATGTATTTCTTTTTTCCAAATCTGGAATGATTTCAATGCAGTGGCACTTGACCACACATGTACAGATGGAGGTAGAGACAGACCTAGTCATACAGGCTGTCTTTAACAGACCCTCATGCACTCTTAGAAAGTATGTTATTACTAGTTTTAATCAGGTCTGAAGACTACAAACAGAAAGAGAAAAACACTTGGGGGTTCAAGTTATAAAGATGCGAGTGCGCCGAACCTCAGCAGATGCCGGTGTCATACATTTTTTAAATCCATACAGGAAAGTAACAGAGAGGCTTAAAACTAAAAGGATTATCTGTCTTCTCACTTCTTCAGAACTTGATCTCACCTTTGGAAAGGCTCTGGGGCCAAAAAAGTAGCAATGTAAAGAACGCAGCTTTCCATTTTCATATCTGCACAATGGTAGGATTCAGACACGGTTGTCAGTTTGCTGATTGTGACAAGAATACAAGAAAATGAAGCAGTAGAGACGTTTGTCGCCACTGTTAACAGCATACCAGACACATTACATACTGGTATTTAGTCCTGTGTAGAAGGCTGCTATTCCTCGCTTGTTGGCATCTTTTTCATAACTCTATGCACGTAGCTGCCCTTTTTATTCTGTCAATCTTTCTTTCTTGTTTTTTTTTTTTACTCTGACCTGGCTTCTTGTTGACATCAGCAGTGAACAGCCAATCAGCTGCCTTCTTGGCATCGGGTCCAGTGAGATAGAACTTTCCAAAGTAGGACATGTCAAACACAGCCACACTGTGTCTACATGAGAGGCACTCGTTCTTAATCTAAATAAAAATAAAACAAAAAGAACATGATAGCAAAAGGATAAAAACAAACTGTCCCAACTCTGCAAAGCATGATGTTTCTAAGAAGAATGCATGTTATTGTCAGATCCCTGAAAGCAACATTCATTACAGCAGTGAAGAGAGATTTTAAAATCAAGGTTAGCATTCTCTCCTCTAATTTAATCCTGCAAGCTGCTGAGTTAGCGTGTGTTCTCCCTCGATACCATTTAAACACCATTAAACTCACCGACTTCCCCTTAGAAGCCTTCAGTGCGTTTATACTCATCTGACCGCACGGTAATACTGCACTATCGATCACCCACGCTCAGCCACACATACCATTTACTCTTAGTACTGTCTCTTACCACGTCATGATGTGGAGGGAAGTCAAAGGTGTACTCTTGACCTAGCAGTTCATCGTATTTGTACTTTTCATTCCTCTTCACATCGTAAGCTCCGTAATAATCATAGTCTTTAACCTGTGCAATATGACACAAAAAACAATTAGAAGCTAATTAATCATTACGGTTTCGCACGAAACAAGGCAAGATGTAGAACTGAGCCAGACACTGTGGTAGCATCATCCATTATTGGCAGTCAGTATGTTCTAACAGCCTCTATCCAGCATGGCTTCTGAAAAATATCACCGGGGCAATTATATAAAAGTGTGCCTGCGACTATGTATAGCATTCAGAATATGTGCAGTGTAAGTGTGTTTCTCACAGGAGCAGGTCCTTCTTTGTTGAACCAGCCAGGTCTCTCCCAGCCATGCCGCTCTTGGAACATGCAGCCCTGCTCTGTGAGCACCTGAAAACAACCACACATACGGAGCACAGTACAGCAAAAGCAGTTCGTGTCTGTCTTTGAAGAATTGCTATTTATTCACTAGAGGTCAACATGATGAACTAACACAAAACTTGGACATACTCTCACACTTTAAATGAGGGCGAAAGTGGGAGCAAACAGTTGACAATTTCCAAAAGAAGAAAACATACATGAACACAGTCGATGCTGTATTTCTGGACACCTGTGGATCGAACTACAATTTCCTTTAAGCTCTGTTCTCCAGCATGAATTGAAAAACTCTAGCTGAGAGGTATTGTGATAATAATTCTCTGTGGTTTAGTCACAACAAGCAAACCTCCCCCCCATCACACCCAGTCTTTTGATCCATTGTCAGTATAAAGATAATACAGTACATTCTGTCAAAAAGAGAAAAGATTGTCTGGCCTAAACAATAAAACTCTAATCTAACATCACAGGAATCAATGAGAGTGCAAGTACACTGTTAGTTTTCCATAAATTGCTGCAGAAATATTAAACTTCTTATTTCTTGAACAGTCTTTAGAAAAGATATATCAGGGCTCCTTGTTAAACTGACAGTCGCCCACAGTCGGTAGGTATGTTCTGCTATGCTCTGCTCCTAGCAGGCATCTAGCAGTCTCTTGCCAAAACTTCCCACACTAGGCTATATTTACCATCTGTGCTACCGAGGTGGAGAAAACGTGTGAGCAGCAGTGTCAGAGATGGCCTGCATGTGCTCTGAAATAATCCCATATTGCCTCTTAAAGCTAGACAGTCTCATTACTTGCATAGCTTCCCCGATTGATCCAACCCTTAAGTACCTCCGAGCCACAATACATTAAACCTTTGTCTTGTGTTAAATAGGAAAGGTCACAGGTGTGTTACACATGAAAAGATTACTTGTTGTTGTGCTAGACAGTCATGGATGGTAAAAAAAATAAAGTAAACGCTCTCTCAATTATATTATATAATACACCACGTCATTCGTTTTGTGTGAAATAAATGTGTATACCCCATGATGCAAAAGCTTATACAAACCACCTTTATCACTATTGACCTGAAGTAATAGATTTAGCCATAGAGAATTTTTTGGCCCACTCTTTAAAACTTCAGTCATTGCACTGACTCGGTGCAACGTCTTGAGTCGCATCCTGTTACAGATTTGCTGCTGTGCTTGGGATCATTGTCCTGTCGCATGACCCAATTTTGCCTATACGTGGATTTAGTATACAGAAGAGTCCACGGTAGACGCGAGAGGTAGGTCTTGGGTTTATGCAGCTTCTCTGAGCGTTGCACGGTCTGGCTTTGGGGTGAATTTGCTGGGACATCCACCCCCGAGAAGACTGGCTCCACTTGAGTAACCTTTCTCACTGTACAAGGATGGGCTTCAAAATAGCACGGTAAGCCTTCCCAGACAGAAAGCAGCAACAGTCACTTCACCGCTATCATTGATGTCTGTGTTAACACATTTCTGACTACTCCCGACCTGCCAAAACTTTACACTTGATCAGTTAATCAAGTGCATTTGATTAGCAACACCTGGCTGCTATTTGCCCTCTTAGTTGCTATGGAAGCAGTAAGGTGTACTTTGTTTTTTCCACAACCTGCTTTTGCATTTTGGATAATTTTTCTTTTAAATAGACGATGACATGGTGTAAAATGGTACTTCTTGTTGTTCATCTCAGGTTTTATTTCCTTGATTCAAAGATCTGCTAACGACCAGATTAAATCATAATATTTAAACCTTATAATTGAAAGAGGGTGTATGTACTTTTTACCATGACTGTAAGTAAGGCTTAAATTCTTTTGCTTTTTACTGACTTTTTGCTCAATCTGACTTCATTTTACTATTTCCCCAACACAAAGAAACCTATACTCATAGATCCAAGTAAACAACAAGATCTTCCAATGACTATAAGGCAAACTTAAGTTATAATGATTATAAATTATTTTTATTTCATAGCGAAGAGCAAAAACCAGATGTTGAAAACCCCCTCATATATTTAAACGAAGCAAACTCTGAGAAAGCACACGATATAAGCTACAAGACAAATTGGCAATGTTACTAATGGAATTTGTGTTAATAATCTTTCATGAAAAGATGCCTACATTTCCGAGTGGGGGTACAAATTGCAACCGTTAAATGTAAATGAATTCTGGAATAGGAAAGCATGTCTAAGTGGATCATTAATGCATAAAGTGTGGTAGTGGGGCCCATTAAAAGTTTGTGCCAGGCTCAGGAGGGAGGGGAAGCTGAAAGACATCTGAGACCAGGCTACTGAAACTAAGTGTAGCATTTAGATTCATGTTGGCAGGGGTTGCATTATTAAATGTAACTGCTGGGGATAACTTACACCTCTAACTGCCTTCTGCTTGAATCAGCTGCCTCTAGGTTTGAACAAAGGCAACGGAATAAGAAAGTGAGATCCCCGTGTCCCAAACCTCGAGTTTACAAACATTTGTATGCCTATATCTCTCACAAGTCTTTTAAGTCCCTTTTATGACATTCACACACATGGAAATGTGACAAGCTAGGGTTTCAGCAGCATCATTTATATGTAGATTTGTTCTATCTGCACATTTCTGTCTCAGCTAGCCAGCCAGATGTTGTGGTAGCAGAAGTGTAGAAAGAGAAAGAAAGGGGAAACACATAAAATGCAGACTTTAATGAGAATAACTAAAGCAACACAATTACGAGAAGAAAAAAGGGAAGCAGACTTGTGTGAATCTGCACGAAAACCTGAATGAATAGATGAAGAAAACTGAGTGACTGAAGGAGAAAAGTGCAAAAGTTAGACGGGTAACATAGGGAAGAAATCGGAAATGACAGGTCAAGTTACATGCAGGGAAAAACATGGACTGGATATTGGTCCACAAACCAGCATGCATGTTTGTCTAAATCAAGACAGACACAGTAAGTAAATGCCCTGACGATTACCCAACTAAAAAAAGCTTTAAGGAAGCCAAGGTTAGGCTTAATGTTTATCTCAAAGGAAAAAAAGAAAAAAAAAATCATGCGTATCTTCTTCCCCTTCACCCACCTACTTGCCAGCTTCTGCCTGCCTAACTTTAATAAAAAGGTTTAAACTTTTTATGAGTCGTGCATGAGTCCTGTGCTCTCTGTCACCATTTGCTAGACTACCTGTTCATACAGTAGTTCTTTTATCATTTCTGCGCTTATCTCAAACTCATCCGTGACTCACACCACAGCTGAAAGGAGTGTGACTAACTCCCAGCACAAAGACAAAGCATGTGGGTCACTTCCTTGAACTCCTCATGAAACACTGATTAACTGTCTGCACTGGAGAGCAAACCACTGACCTACCTGGTGGAAAGGATCCTTCCTCATGTTTCGGCTGGCCAGCGGCTCATCAAAGGGGAACACTAAAGAGTAGTTCTTAGCATACGACTCGTGACTCCTCTCTCTGATCCACCGTTTGTTGTCTGTCAGCGAGTGATGAAAGCGCCTGAGAAAGAAGGGAGACGGATTCAAAAGATGCTCATTAAAAGTCACAATCGTTCAGACTTCATTAAAACTTGCTGCAGTTCCTGCTGCCTTTTGCTAAAGTGATAATCTGAAGAATTTTGAGTAGATTTTGTGGAGTGATGTACCTGATGTCATAGCCGTACATGTCCTTTTCAGGGCGGCCATGTATGATCCAGTGAGCCAGCTCTCTACCACAACCACCTCCCAGCATCATACCTGAAACAGAAGGTGTAAGGATAAAAGAGATGTTGATGTGAGAAGCATTCCCGGTCAAATTCAGCTCATTTTAATTAATGCTGAAACAATATTAACCAGTTTAATGTAATTGTGGAATAAAATAATTGAAGATTATAGCTTCTTTACTGTCTTTTGAAACTGAATGTGTTTGTTTTTTGGTTAAAGGACGGAGCCTGTGAATATTATGAGTGCCAATATTTCTGTACCTGATTAACTGCTTTTTAAATGCAAAGTCAGATAAATTTCCACAGCCCAAGGGAATAACATTTAGATGGAATGATAGTCAAACCAAACAAAAGATGCCACTTTGGATTCAATTGTTCCCTGTGGGTCCCTGAATGAGGACCAGAGGGGGAAAAATAATGATCATTTAAAAACAGGCATTTATTCACACTTTTTTAAATTAAAGACAACCCAAAACCCATAAAATAAATGCTAAAACAGATTTAAATTAAAAAGAAAGGACACAGACAAATGTCCAAAGCTTTAAACTGTAATAATAATAATAATAGTACTGTGCAAAAGTCTTAAGAAACATCACTCCTTTTCAGTCCAGTCCTTAATCATTTTTAGGGGAATGCTTTTTTTTAGTTGCTTGCTAAGGCACTCAACACTGACCTGCAAATCAATCAGGTAACCACCAAAAAGGATGAACTAGTACACATAACAGACAACTTTGCTAAATCTATTTTTAGTTTCATCTTTAGGCATTTTGTTACTAGCAGTCTATCACACAAACATCTTTTTTTTCCCCGATTTCTTTAGTTGAATCTATTGAAAATGCCAAAGATAGCACAATTCAACAGACACAAAATCGTTTTTTAAGCCAGCAACGTGATTTCCAAAGACTTTTCACATTCTGGCACTGTGTGCAGTGTGGCCTTCGAAAAGAATCAAAGAAAGAAGTGGAGGACCAAAGAAGAATAAAACAAACTATCTATTCTATGAATAGTATTTAAAATAGGGAAAAATGCAGCAAAGACCCAAAACAGGACCGGAGAGATGTTTCTGATCTGTTTACTGTTCGCCAAAGCCTCATCAGAAATGATCTGAAGGGTGTCAAGAAACTGTTCCTCAGGAAGGGAAATGGGGAGGTCTTTTAAGCTTTTGTACAATTTAAATTTTCATCAGAACTATCATCTAAGTTCACTCTTTTGTTACTTATATACATCTTTCCCATGTTTGTCCTCAACTTTTTTTTTTTTTAAAGAAACAGACTATTTTGTGGATATTCTGAATAAGTCACAGCAGATCTCTAATCCCCTTCTTGCTCACCTACATCCCGCCTAGAGGACAGAGTCACATTAATTTGTAGAAAAGAAAGGAAAAAAAGAAGAGAAACAGAGCAGTTTATGTCCTCTGCTATGGCTCCTATGTGGCACATGATCCACATAAGGTTATTTCAACCCTTCTTCCATCTTTTGACTCTTGCTCACAGGAGCCCCCGAGCAATGTGACCTCATCATCTGCACCCAGTGGCTGCAGCATTGTGCATCTTTCAACCCAACCAACAAACAATCATCAGCAATTCAATATTTTATCTGTCAAGTCCCAAAACTGTCGGGTTAATGAGCTGGGCCCTTTTAGCAACCCCCCGCTTGCATTGTGCTGCTGGTAATTTGCAGTTATCAAGCGTATGTGTGTGTGCTGTATGTATGTCTCTCCCATGTGTTGCAACCACAGCATCAATATGCAGCAGCACGAACAGTGTGTCCTTGCAACCCTCTGTCATCCCTCCATCTCCATCTCTCACAGCGTCCCCTCTCCCTCTATCTCTCATTACTTCACTCATCTGCAGGCACTGTCACTCCGAGCCCGGGTGGACAGTTGAATGGCTGTTTTGCTAGACAGATGGATGTATGGGTGCAGGGATTGAGCGATAAAGGGAGGAGGGGTGAGAGGATGTTGATGAAGTTCTCCCAAGACAATGTGGGGACAACCAGCAAGGCGAGGTGGCACTGATAAATGTCACTCGAGATAACTGGGTTGATGTGTGAGTTTCCATACTTGTAAATCCTCGTGCTTGAGCTTCCACTCATTCTGTCGTCCCCTTCTAACCCGTCCCTTTTCCTCCTCGCGTTTATGCCGTGCAAATATTTGCCCCTTTCACGGTCATTATGTGTCATCTAATCTCCTCGGTGTCAAATTCTTCTTCTTGACGTTTACAGCGGTGCTGCCAGCAATACCACCGATGCTTAGAAAGAGCAGGAAAACATGCACAATTGTTTTTTTTTTTTATCTTTTCCAATATCCTCTTCAGCAGATTAGCAAGCGCATTAATCCAAAATTTTAAAACAGCATTTAGTGCTGCATATCAAGATGTGTTATTCAGAAGTTAGACAAACAAGATACACTAAATGAATTAGTCCTCAGAGCCAGGATAGTCAGTACTCTAAAATCCTAGTCTTCATATTTAGCTAAACATTTGAATGCTGGTCTTGATATGAGGCCATCTGTGTGATAGCTAAAGCTTGGCCTAAGATGGGTCATTCATCAGAACAATAATCCCAAATGCTGTAGGAACTGTACATTAACAAACGCCTGCAAACCTCGAGGAACTAAAGCGAAGTTGTAAAGATGAATGAGCCAAAGCTCCTCCACAACAAGGAGAAAACGTCATGTACTTCATACACAATTTCATATATTACAGTTCACACATTTAAGTGTTTTTAACCTTCTCTTCTAACATATAGAAAGTCAAGTACTGCCACAAATGCTTTACTCTTTACTTAAAGGCTTTGGTTATTTGAATATAGCACATATAATCAGCACTAAAATAACTAGAACTTTAGAGTCAGTATGTTCTTCACCTTGAAATTAACAATACTCTCCTCAGAATGCAGAGAGTGTGTTTCGTGATGCCCTCTTCAATAATTTTTCTAAGTTAGAAATTTGATCCTCTTTTGGCTTCACGTTCACACTAATGCTTCCATTTTATGAGCCAACAAAGTTGGCCAAAAAACAGAAGACAGTTTTTTTCTAAGATTTACATCAGCACCAGTATCCTTATTATTTCTTATTGTGCACAATAAGAAATAATAAAGGTGCTTATTCCTGTGATTGTTAGCAAGACAAGGATGCAGCCGGGTAAGAGGGGCTGCAGTTCATAGCTTTAAAAGAAAGAAGAAGAAAAAATGCCTTTATAAACAAGAGCAGTTAAATGTTAAGCATGATGGGTTTGACACCAAGAATAAGTATCCAAAGGTTGCCAGGCAACAAATACAACTTCAACCAGTCTGAAGGCTTGGTGATTGCTTGGAGACCAAATTTAGCTCCAGCAAGTAAAGAGCATTCAATGACTATCTATCAAAAGTGACCCCTTGGTCTCTGAACTTTCCTGCCTCTCCGTGCCCGGCCTTGAGCCAAGACAGCCGTGTCACTGGAAATGCGAAAGATGCCGTTTCCTTGTCAGAGGGGCATAAAGACAGGGGAAGAAAGAGTGACAGATGCAGAGAGTGTGAAGAAGGGACGACATGGCACATCAGTGTTTCCTTTGTGTGTGTGGATGCTGAGTGCGAATCGAGCACAGTTCAGGCAGGCTACGAAGTCAAGCTCAGTCCCAGCAGATCGGCTGATCTCAATGGCAGCCCACATCAACTGATGCTCCAAATGCCTTTCTGCACATCCAGTTTCTTATGCAGGGCACACTATTTAAGCTGCTTTAGCCTTCCCACACTTACTGCACATCTGCAATACATCTACACGTCATACTAAATCTCCAACTTAGACAGTACCTGCATCACTGATGCCTGCTCTCCTCTGTGCTGCTGGTCGTACCGCTGCTTTCCCCAAACTCTAGTTTTTAAAAGTATATACTTGCAAGACGTGCAAATAGTCTTCTCACTACAGGAAGCACTCCCTTTGGTGAGCGGGTAACACACGCAGGAGACCAGCCTCACGACTCCCACTCACTGTCTGTGAATTCGCATGACAATTACGTGCTTAATTCACACATAAGCTACATGGGACATTACACTGATTTTGTACCATACAGCAGGCAGCACAGCTCCACCATGTAATGTTTAGGAAAGTTCAGGGCTGCTGTGCATGTGTGAAAATGACTCAGGTGTGATATTAGTAATACTAGGCCCATTTCACTGAGCTAGTACCCGGCATTACACTAAAAAATAAAATGGGTACGACAGCATTGTAACCACCTCTATTCACACAGGCAGGTTGTGTTTCTATGTAAATGTAGAAAAGAAAATGTAATGCCAACAGTCCCAAGCTCACTTTATAGTTATTAATTACCAGAGAATAACAGATGGGGGTCGGCCTCTCACATGAGGTTGTTGAACATTTAGCTTTTTGCTCACTGAGCTGCCATGAATTAATAATCCAAACTGATGACAATTTATTATTTTTATGAGAAGAAGCCTATTGGCAAGTTTTACCACTGTTTTCAGGTATAATATGAGGCAGTACTCGAAGGACGTGTTAGTACTCTGATCAGGGTGGTGGACAGAATATTTCATGGTTAAGTGGTTGCGGAATAGAAAAGCAGTGGTAAACATCAAGGACCACTCATTAATTTGCAGCGAGTCAACTACACCTCTGAAAGAAAAGAAAATACAGAAGAGGGAGGTCTGTGTAACATATGAGTGTCGAGATGCCCACACATCAGGTCTTCACTTCACTGCGTCTCCCAAGCGTCTGTCAGGACTGCAGAGCCGGATCCCATAGTCTTTTGCTCTTGTGCAGAAAAAAAAAGGCTTTGTCTGAATTGTCTTAATGCTTATGGTGATTACTTTACCCTTTACGCCCCCTCTCTCTGTTTTTCAGACCGCTGAGATCCTCGCATTCCTCCTTCTCTAATGTCAGTAGAAAGTTCATCCCTGAGTGAAGTAATGGAGTTACTCGGGTTGTTTCTGTGTGTGCCTGCGTGTATGTGTATGTTCTCGATGAAAGCTGAAAAATGAAAACCACTCTATTATTCATTTGTGCCTTGAGAGACTGGTGAAGGCTAGGTCAGAGTCTAAGAAAAAAATTCTTTGGCCATTTCCCTTATTTTCTTCATTATTTTTGCCCATTTGATTTCTAAGAAGATTTCTTCGACCTTTGTCACCCCTTGAGGAATCATTTCATAGAATCATTTCATAGATTCCTCAAGGGAAAGCTATTAAAGATGAAGTACTTTATAATAAATAATCAGTGAGTGCAGTGTATGTATTGTTTCTTTAAGGCAAAGTTGATGAAGCTAACCATTTAATCTAAGATGTCTTTGCACTCTCTGGGATTCTCGCTCACTCCCTGCCTCCCTTCCTCTCTTTTCTCACCTCTGACTATTTTATTTCTTCAGACTGTCAGTTGTCAGCTGACGCAGAACTTACCAGCACTGTTGAAGCCACAGCCCAGGAAGAAACCTCTGACCTCTGGTGTTTCTCCCATCAGAGGCTTATGGTCTGCTGTGAATGACTCTGAAACAATAACAAAGAGAAACTTTGTGATAAAGGTGGGAACAAAATGTTTCTATCCAATTCGTCACAGGAGTCAGTCTCAGCTCCTGTGGTAGCTCGAATAGGATACAGTCCACGCATGACCCAGAATTGGATATGCAGAAGAAAAAGGACTGATAGATGGAGGTATGGAGGCCTATCCCCCCCTATCTCCCCCTACCACCACTTCCCCTGCCAGTGGCGGACTCCCTCAGACATCGGTGCGTTGGTGGTTCTTTGTGTCCGGGGATGGGCGTCCAGGTACACACCGGCTCACTCCTTGGCGGCCGCTTATCGGGCCTGGAGCCTGGGCTCGCTCGGGCCACTTCGGAGGTGGGGTCACTCAGGCACGGCTGGCTGCCGGCGGAGCTCACGGGCGCGTCACTGCAACTCCCCCTGGCTTCTGCTCCGCGGCTGCTGAGTGAGCCCTCATCTGGGACTCTCCTCAGCTCTTTCTGGGACAGTGGCGCGGCTGCCCCTCTGTTGGTCTTCCTTGGTCTCTTGTGTTCTGGGGCCTCTGGATGTCTGGAGTCTTGATCTCCTCCATACCTGCTTCATGCCCTGGAGGACGGGGCTGTGGCCCCCCCACACCCTCTAGCAGATCATTACATGAAGGAACCTTTTAAAAAAACAAGCGCGTCCATGCTCACAGGTGTACACACGGGTGATCACACCCACAAACTGCACCCTTTTTGGCTCCTACCTCAAAGCACACTGTGTTCTGTTGATCTTATGTGCTGCACAATAATGTTTAATATTTAGTATTTACTGTCATATTCCCATATATCATTGTGATGTTGTTTATTCTATTACTCTTGTTCTCTTCTGCTTGTTTTCTTTTTTCTTTCTCAGCAGGTGATCCAGGTGATTGATATATGCATATTTTTTTCTTTTTTTCTTCTTTTTTTTCTTTTTCTGCTCATTCTGTTGGTTTTTGTCTTTTGCCCTTCTCCCCCGTCCCTCTTCTCAGCTGTTTCTCTTTCCCTCTTTCTTTCTCCCCTTCTTTCCCCCAGTCAAGTCTGTCCCGTATTCAGTAAGTGAAAATAAAATAAACAATAAAAGGTGAATCAAATGGACCATTACGGCAAGGCTGGGATGGTCAATTTGGTAAAGTAAATCCGTTGGGCATCTTTCTTTGCCTTTAGACAACAATTCTGATGGCAAAAGAGCCAAACAGGACAGGCAAAAAGGAAAAAAAAAAGGACTGATAGATGGATATTTGACTACTTTGGCTATTTTATCAGTGTCATCTCTGGCTTTGGGTCATTCCATGCCAAATCATCAAATGTTGAGAAGATTTTATGCTCATCCATCTAGGGCTGAACGATTATGGAAAATAATCTAATTGCGATTTTTTGCCCCAATATTGCGATTGCGATGCGATATGCGATTATTTTTTAAGGTCTTTGTCTTCTGTATTATTAAACAAAGACAAGCAATACATCATATAGTATGGCCAATACTATATTACATTAATTTTAAACTGTTCTTTCCTGGAAGACAGACCTCTGTTATGATGACATGAGGTGATGCATGAATTGATGACTGACATTTTTATTTAACTTCTTCAATCACAACAGTATATTTGAACATACACAATAGTTTATTTTTAGCTTACAAACATCTGAGCATAAAGTGCTGGCAAGGAACCCTGGTGTAAACATTAAAATGAAAGTCAGTACAATGTGCAGATTGCAGAAATATACATAAACAAAATCAGTGGCTTTACCACACTCAGTTTTTCGACATCTGTGAACTACTAGACAGTCATTCAATTAAAAAATAATATTAAATAAATAAAACTAATAAATAAAAAAATACACACATCTTACTGATCTCTGCAGTCAGTAACATTACACATAAAGTGCAAACATAATAGCAATTGTATAAACACACACACAAACATGCCTTTAAAATTTAAAGGCGTGAAATTGGACGGTCTAGTTCTGATTAGCGTCACCGCTGTCTCGGTGGAGTTTAATAAACTCGGCCGTCTGCTTCTTGCTATCTAAAATATAACCAGACACTGGTGTAAATTCTCGACTGTCTCATACTTCTGTTTAATAAGTTTTCTGTTTGACGTTTAGTCAGCTGTGTGAAAACCAAGGAGGAACCCACCCGGGGGATTAATAAAGTTTTATTTTATCTAATCTAATAACTTTAATCTCAGCCAAACCGATTTACTCACGAACAAACAAAACACTGAAAAAAAGCCCAACAATAACATTTTTAGGTTGTCTAAGTGACTTATATATTACGTTTAACCCGAGCAGCGAAACTCCGCGGTGATCTGAAAATGACGTGCCGGGAGTTGTGCCGTTCTCGGCCGCATCAGTAACCCTCGAGCTCCCGGCTAGCTGTCGAGCTGGTGGGTAGCAGACGCCTCTGAAAACGTCGAAGCACTTTTGCAAATATGGGATATCTTGATAAACCGAGCAGATATTTGATGTTTACACAACTACTTTCTCGCCTGAAAATATGTTAAAAGTTTATTTTGTGACCCAGAAAGATTAGTATGAGTAATTTTAAAACTTAGTAGCGGCCGCCATTGCTGGAAACTGGAGTTTGGCTGGGCCGCGCTATGAATTCTGGATATGGTAGTAATTTGGACAGCCTTCGGCGCGTCGCTGTGACGTAATCGGTCTACAAATGCGGCCTCAGGAGGATGCAGCCCATGAATTTGGACATGTCCAGAGTATAATCGCAGCCTTTGCGGTTAGAAAATTGCACTTGATCATGTCGCGATATTATCGCAAATGCGATATATCGTTCAGCCCTTCATCCATCTCCAGTTTGCCTAAAAATTAGAGATGGGTATTTTTTTTGGTATGTCTGAGCATGAATATCTCAAAAAGTACAAAAGATGAAAGCCTGAAATTTTCCCGGACCTTTCTTATGAATCAGGGTCTGTAATTTTGAACAGAGAGATTTAAAAAAAAGTCACAGTATTATCTACTCAAGATATGAAGAAAAAACCCCCCAAAAAAAGTCACTTATGCGAGCACACACTAATAACAAACATCACGTTGCATACATACAAATACTAACATTTTCTGAAGTGTATATAACCCAATTTCACAATAATGCAGAATAAAGCAGGTAGAATACTTTTTAATATGAAATTCCTTGTCACAAATATGAAGAAGGAATCCAAATTTCATGCTGCATTGAGTAAACATGACAAAGTGTAAAACAAAAATATCAGTAAAATAATGTGCTCAGTAACAATAAATATCTGCATATTTTTCATTTTGATACATACTCTACCTACCGTTTCCAGATCTGACGCCCATCAGAGATCTTATAATTCAGGGTAAGCTTAAAATACTAAGAGGCGATAACAATGCAAAGAACCCAACAAGTACTGATGTAAGACTTTTCACATATGAAAATAAATATAGCACAACAATTCAAAGTAGTTAAAACGGGATTAGTAGCCTCTTTCACGTAAGTAGCAATGTAAAGTTGCTGTGTCCACTTGTGATCTGTATTCCAATGCAAGACCCTAACCCCCTAACCCAACCCAAATCCTAATGCCACAGTTGCTACAGGCAAGCAGGAATCAGGCAGTTGACTTCCAGACTGAATCCTGCAAGAATCGGACGAGACTAACTACTGATATTTTTGTCTTTGTGATACAACTTGTCATATTTTCTCAATCCATTGTGAAAGTTAATTGAAAATAGCACTTTATGACCATGAATTCGTGTTAATCTATTCAAAAAGTTTCATTTTGCATTATTCTGAAACTCGACTATAAACCATTCAGAATTCTAGTTTCCTTTTGCAATGTTTTATTAGTGTTTGCGCAAATATGGTATTTTACAGGGCAGCTTGATTTTGTGTTTCATATTTTAAATAGTCATGTTTGATATATCTATCCAAAATCTCAGATCCTGATTCATTTTTACAAAACGAAAGGCCAGTGAAAAATTCAGGCTTTTGTCTTTAGTAGTTTTTAAAATATTCATGATCAAACATGGCAGCAGATCTTCCACAAATTAGATGATTTAAAGATGTGATGTCTTCAGTCTTAACATGATATCAGCAGTCTGAGCGCCGAATCATCTGACATGTTAGCGGATATAATAAGAAATGCGTCTCTATATTCAGTGGACAATCTGACAGTACAGGATGTGTTAGTTTTGCACAAGATATAAAAGTGTGGGGAGGAATTGTGACAAGGCTAAGGCTCAGAACTTTTCATTTTAGTTGGCAAGCCACCATTTATCATTTAGGTTTGGTCAGGCTTGGTCCTCTGAGACTTTAGAACAGCTGTGTGCAACACTGAAACTTAGCGAGCCGTTTGTGGTCAGTAAATGCCTCCTAACCATAACGGCAGGCTGGCTGTTCATTAAACCGTAATGTCTCCTTATTTCCACTTGCGTTAAAAACCACAGATTGGATGGGTGGTTTTGGAGAGCTGGAAGTTGTTTAAAGGCAACTTTAGCCAAGTTCTGCAATGCAATAATAACTTTTTCAAAAATCCAATACACGCAAACTTTAAAACTAACAATGTCTTATGTAACAGAGAAATTGCAGCAGATACATTAAGATATCAGTACTTTTATTACTCAACTGAACTAAGCCGAAAGAAAGACATTTTCTCTTACATACCTACAAACACATGCGTGTGAATACGTCTTTTAGCAACATTAGACTAACTGCTAAATATTCCAAAAGAAAACACCGTAAACCTTTAACTCAATTTTCCATACTTCTGTCTATATAAATAAGTCTCTCTGAGTGGTGAATTGCACATACTGATGGAACTCATAATATTCGATTTATATTTGAAATTTCTCCTTCATTTAGCCTGCTGTATCCTCATGGAAATGCCAAAGGTGCCTTAGTAACTTCTCATTTCTCGTTAGTAACATTTTCTCACTCTGAAAATGTTTTGTTTAACGCAGCAAGCTTATCCAGTAAACATAAAATGAACTTAAAGCCAAGGGCACAGATAAGAAGAACAGACAGCTTTTCAGACTTCTATCTTTATTTTTTCTTCCATCATTTCGTCTTTATTTCATCTCTGTAAAATTTATGTTATCAATTATTATTTCCCTTTAACATTTTCTTTTTTGTATGTTTGCTTTTTGTCAAAGTTCCTTCTAAATGTCTTTTGTACTTTCATTTTATCATTCTGTTTTACTTTTCTATCCTCACAAAATCATTCTGATCATTATTCCAAACTGCTGCTCCAGGCTAAAATAATGAAAAACTCAAATCAGAAACCACAAAGCATGGCTACAGACCAGCTCACATAACCAGCTGGGCAATGTGATATTACCTGCACAGGAAGTCAGGCTCGAGCTAATCAAACTATCTCCTCTGCAAACATGGCATACAGCTCGCTAGTTTACATATTCATGGGCAACCACAGTATGCATCCAAAGTGTTGTGAAAGTTGCTTGTTTGCTGCTGTAATGCATAAGGATTTGTAGGGAAAGGCATGGAGGAATTGCTCAAAGATTAATGCTTCTTTTGAACTAGTGCTTGTATGTGTGCATGATTGCATTTTTCCTGTGGGGATATATATGTCCGCTTACACATAGTCACAAATAGATGACCTGCTTTGTTTTTAGGGACATAAATCCCTGTAATGTTAAACACATATCTACATCTTAGCATGTAGACTTTAAGCTTAAGATTAGTGGAAGGGTTAATGTTAGGAGGTTGCAGATAGAGTAAGTCTCCAGGAAACGACCTCAGTAAATGTAATTCCCCATGAGGTGATGGGAACACAACTGAGCATGTGCGTGTGCGTGTGTGTGTGTGTGTGTGTACGTACCTGGTCCACAGACAGTGGACTTAATGCCAGTCTGTTCCAGAGCAGGAACTCTGTTGACTGCACCCTCAATATGTTGCATAAAGACATCCCAGTCCAGATCGAACAGGCTGAAGGCGAACTTATCAGACACCTGGGAAATATTGAAAAATAAATAAATAAATAAATAAATAAAGGCACACTGATAATAAATGACTGGCTTACTTCCAATAACCTTGAAACCTTGAATAACCTTAAAATAGCAGCACACATTTACTTTCTCTCTTTTACCCCTAAAACACACCAATTTTGAAACGAATTTTCACACTGAAAATGAGTTCTGTTTGAGGAAGACACCAAATCACATAAATAGGGACCACATCTAATTAGAAAAATTGAATTGAAGATTTTTGAGAAAATGCAAATGAGCAGTAAAACGAGCACTGAATAATGGTGCATTTTAATATTTTTCCTTTTCTTTGTGTGTCTTTGTAGGCTACAGTCAGCACTACTACTGTGATGTTCAATGCTGATGTACCACCGCAGTGCCAGTGTCAAAAATACTGCTGTGCTCTTTTATCCTCTTCATATGTGACTGGAGGAAGCAAGGCTGCAGCCACAACACATCCTGTAGCATCTGTTAAATCAACTCTTCCTCACCACAGAAACATCTGTCAAATCAGCCCTTCCTCTCATCTCAGTATCTTGTCCAAGCTTTAATTTGCTCCAATCTGGAGTTCTGTAACTCCCTCCTTTTCAGCCACACCAAAATCCAGCCTTTAACTCCTACAACTAATGGCCAGCAGCACAGACGACCCCCCACCCCCCACCTTCCCATCAAACACTAATCTGGCTGACTCAGGGCACTCAAAGTGGAAAGTCCAGCACACCAGAGCTGTCCAGCAATTTTATCAGTCACGTATTTCTCTCTCAATTCCTGCCCTGATTCACTCTTTCATCTACTTTTACTTTACTTTCCTCAATTTTTTTTAATTATGTAACAGACATGCCTAAACAAAAACAAAACAAGAACACTGGATAACAATATCAACCCGTTTTTATAAATGTTGAACATAAGTGATTAAGTTAGATAGATGGTTATGGTCTACAGTCAAGTACAGAGGACGTACTGAAGGAAATTCCTTTGGCTTCACAATTACCATCTGCTGTGACACTCTCAGCTTCGATTAAGACTTTAATGTCATATGGATGCCTAAGCTGACAGTAGCTGCTTTCATGTGAACAAAGAGTTCTGCACTATTACCGGGCATTGACACTCAACTGGGGTATCTGAGAAGCAGATACCTTTGTCCTAGGCACCACACTTCTCCCAATCCTTCCCAAGCCATCAATCTAGCTCATCTTCAATCACTCCGCTTCTTCTATTCTCCACGTCTCCTTGCTAATTCTCCTTTTGGTATCTATTCTTTCTTCTTCCACTTGCTTTAAGACATCAAAGCTGCTGCAGAACGAGAACAAAGAAGCTGCTTCCGCTCAAAGAAATCCTCTAATATGTAAAAACCACTGAGGAATCTGCAGACAGGCAGCCAGCCAGCCAGAAGGACAGAAAGCCAGGAAGTTAGGCAAAAAGATATTATCGGTGACCTGCAGAAAACGTCTAATGGCTTTCATTACTTCTGAATAGTATAAAAGACCAAAGTCTTAAAGAAAAAAAACAGGCATAAATCAAGAAGGAATGCATGACGAGTGAAAAGTTTTAAGTATCTAATGCATAAATGCATGCCACCAAACCTCCTGCCAGCCCACTTAACAAACTGCTCTAAAAACCTGTCCTTGAGAGAAAGTACAAATCCATTAAGACCAAGACCACCTGTCAGTTCAAAGGCTCTTAAAAAGATCAATCTCCAAAGTCAAACTCTCTCTAAAGTCGGTCTTTGCATGGAACATGCAACTGCTTGCACAATGACTTTTTCTAGTTGCCAAAGTGTTGTTCGAATAATTAGTCTTCAGAGCCTTCAGTTCCTTTTACAGATGTACTTTGGTTTTAATGTTCCAATAAAACAAATTTCACCCCAAGCGGAGCTAAAAATACAATGTTTGTCAGGGGTTGTGCTAAAAGAATGAGTATGAGGTAATTAAAATCCAATAGACTTATCCCCTCTTGAGCACTGTGCTCATCACTGTGCACATTAGAAATAAAATATATGTGGAGTGTGGGCAATAAGACTTGCAACAGTTTTATTAATGGATACAAATATAGGACTAGTTTTTTCCTTTCTAAGTATAGTTTTCTGTATAAACTTTCTAGAGAAAAATAAACTTTCCAAAAGTGTCAGCGTTTGATCCCTTTTTTGTTTCATTATTTGCATCAAGGTTAATAAACTTCGCCTTCGCGTAAGTGACCTGAAGGCACTGGATTTGATGAAATCATCCAACAAAAGCCAAAGATTCCAACAGAACTTGGGGGGGGGAAAGGGAATCCTGTTCTTTCCCTACTAGGTATACTATACCTACTCCTGTGCCTTCAGAAGCATCATAAACACAGTTTGTTGCGCTTTCCTTTATAATGGCTACTCAAGTTTTTATACTTAAAGTCCAACATTTGTAGCTTTGTGTCTTTACAGAAAGATGATAAGAGAATTGATATTTGTCTGTCATATTAAAAACCTATAAAGTCGACCCAGTAGGCTGTAGGAATATTTAAACTAGAGATGGCACGATACCACTTTTTTATGTCCGATACCGATATCATAAATTTGGATATCTGCCGATACTGATATGAATCCGATATAGTGTTTTTCAACAAAACAGTTTTTTTTTAAATATCTTGCTGCATTTTGTATAAGTTCATACTCAAGTTTAAAACAACAACTACACTAAAGCTATTCTGTTATACCTGTATGCAAAAAAAATATTTCATAGTTCAGCAACACTGATCAATCTAATAAACTTAAACCTACACCATCCTCCCTATTCTGGTATTTTAAAGAGTACTTAGCATAAATATTAAGCAACCTAACTAATAGGGTTCCAACTCCCAGCAACAACAAAAATAAATAAATAAAAAATAGGGAACCACCCCTCACGCTCCACCTCATGATGCTTAATCGACGTAATCAACCTTAATTTGATGCAGTGTGAAAAAAAATGCACAGAAATCAATTATTTTTCAAGAAATATTAAATAGATTCAACATCTTTCTTCAACAAAATTGCAGACTGCACAGATGGTACCTTCCCAAAGGAAAAAGTACTATAGCTTACTAGGGTATATATATTAGACTTAATAGTTACTATATACAGTAATGGACTTCTATTCATTTTGCATCAAATTAAAACTTTGGGTGTCAGATAATTATTTATTAAAAGCTAGACATTTTAAATGACAATAAGAAAGAAAAGTATGTCTTTCTGCTCCCCTTTTCCCTGTTAATGCCCTATCGGCCCCCCTGGCTAAACTTTGCTAGATCCGCCCCTGCACAGTTACCAGCCGTCAGCTACGTAGAAAAAGATCCTTGAGTAGAAAGTAATAATAAATAAATTCTAACAACAGCTGATCAAGCTTAAACGTGCTGCTGTTGTTCAGCCGCTGGTTTCCTCTTTCTGGTGCAAAGTGGGCCAAAAACAAACAAGAGAGATGGACTCCCGACAGAAAAGCCGATCAGCTGATCGTTAAGCAGTTTCATGATTGAAGTAGCAGCCGGAGAGGCAGTCGCTCCATATATCGTTTGTTAAGCTTAACGCAGGAATGCTTTACAAACATTCAGAGATGGACTTACACACTTGCTTTACTTCTCTCGGGGATAACTTTGTCGGAGATGAAATGCTGGGTTGCTAGCGAAGCTCCACATGCTATCCAGACCACGACAGGTCCCGCATGCCACAGCCGCTCTATCACGTGATGCATACTGCTCCGACGTGCTAACGTTCTGAGGTGAGTTACTGCGCGTTGCAAGTTTTGTGAGGTGCTTTCGTGATATTTAATGGATCGGATTACATTTTTTATTTTTCTCCGATATCCGATCCAGTAATTTAGGTCAGTATCGGACCGATACCGATACGTAATATCGGATCAGTCCATCTCTAATTTAAACAGAACCAGATTAGTGGCTTACTGTTGTTCTGTATTCAGGCTAAGCACACATAAACATCCTGAATTCAGCTTCCTAGACAAACAACTAAAACATAAAAAAAATAAAATAAATAGGATACATATATTAAAACCAAGTCTGAGCATCCTGCAAACTATGGGAGAAATAGCAAAATTGGAGTGTAAAAAGATGTGATCATAAAGAATGGAAGAAAACTGCTAACTGTTCTTATAGTACCTCCGTCTTAATGCTAAGCTATGCAGGATGGTCACAAACTATCAGTCTTTATATCAGTTTTTTTGGAATAAAACAAATAACAATTTCCCCTGAATGTTAAATATTTTTTACAGTTTTCCTTTAAAATTAACACACACACACACACACACACACACACACACACACACACACACACAGAGTTTTGACTGCTGTTATGAATACAGTTTGACCTCCAAACTAATACAGCAGAAAGTAATAGACAAGGTAAATAAGAGATGAGGTCAAAATGACACATAAGTATATAAACTGGATGAGTTTATTCAGCTTCCTAATTAAAGTATTTGATTTTTTTTGTCGAGCAAAGCTAAATTTTTTATCACAGCACTCACTGAAACGAATAGAAAGAGAATCTGACAATTAACCTCAGGATGACATTCAAGCTTACCTCATCCCAGAAGATGGGGTTTCTTTCATAACCGCCCACAGACAGAGCGTCACCTTGAAGGCGCAGGTACACTGACGCATCATGGTCCCTGACATTTGGCATGTTCTGGGAAGATGAAAGTGAACGGATCAAAACACGAAGGAATGAGAACACAATCAGTTAAGGACGGTTTTTATGAAAAAAAAACAAAAAGTAATTTTATTACCAAATAGTTGTTTAAATTCTCCAAGTTCATAAAAATCTACATTCACTCCATTGAGTGAATTTCTTCATCGCACATCCAATTCAGGGTCACAAGAGCTCAGGGATGGATGGGATAGGCTCCAGAGACTGAAATCCCAAAGGCTGTCTAAAGCAGAGGTCTCCAACCTTTTTTGCGCCACGGACCGGTTTATGCCCGACAATATTTCCACGGACTGGACTTTAAGGTGTCGCGGATAAATACAACAAAATAAAACTAGTACCGGTACCGAAAAAAAGAAGATTTATTCATAACACACGTGAAAAGACCCAGGAAGACCGAGTAAACGATAAAAACAATAACAAGATAACGCTGAAAACCCTGAAAACCATACATTTCACACCTGAGCCTCAACTCTCATGGCCCGGTACCAAACAACTCACAGACCAGTACCGGTCCAAGACCCGGGGGTTGGGGACCGCTGGTCTAAAGCTATTCATAAAAATTTTAAATTGCTAATAATTTCTTTATGTTCTAAAGGAAAATGGAAAACAGGTGCAGTGACTTATTGAAACATGGACAAGAGTGAGTTTCCTTGTCATTCTAAAAAACACGAAGCTGCTGCCACAATCTTTCCAGTTGATACTGCATGGTGGATTCAAGTGCAATTATAATTCCATACATTTTGACAACATCTCCAATACCATTCGCTGAAATGCGAGCCTCCAATTTGTTTTAGAGATGGATGTAGACACTTACTTTTGTCTCTCTTTCCTGACTTCTTCTGTACCTGCTGACAGCAATTTGTCATCGCTCCATAAGCTCTGTTGCCTCTGATTTTTGGTCATGCTCCTGTTTAATTTGGCATACCTCAACCTTTTCTCCTATATTTCCCTTCTTTAACAATGGCTTCTTGACAGCCAAACTTCCACTGAGACCATTACTGATGAGGCTTCGGTGAACTAAAGGGTTAGATGCATCTCTCAGGTCCTGTGTCAAGTCTTTGCTGGATATTTCCTACTTCTTAAGTACATGACTTTCAGATACTGCTCATCTCCTGTAGATAGTACTGGCCTCTTCTTCACCAATTTTTAAGAATACACTGCACATTATGTCAGCATTTGCCAGGTTTTCAGCTAATAGCTTTTTGGGAATCACCTTGTTGGTGCCAAAAATACAGTTTAATTCCTATCAAAATGTTATCTTTGGCATTTTTATTGATTTTATGACCTCATGTGTTCTTGCAACAGGCTGCTAGAAACAAAGCACCTAAAGATACAATTTAAAATGTGTCTTTGCTAAGTTGTCTAATATATGTGGACACAATACTGGTTAATCCATAGAGTTTGATACCTTTTTAATGCTTGAGTGATTAAGTGGGTTCAGTTGGTTAAGTGGATTAAAAAAGAAGAAGAAAAAATCTGGAAATAGTCAGATAAAAGGACTGGATTAAAAAAGAATGAAAAACCAGTCAAGATTTTTTTTTAAATGTCTAAAAATCCTACCTTAAATAATTATAATAAAGTCTGGTTCCTTGGAAGCTGAATATAAAGACAAGTGCACTTTTGTTTAGTGCTACATTTTTATAAGATGTTAAGAGCTGTACAAAAGGGGCATCACAACATGGGACTAAAAAACAGCCTTAAAAATGTTTACAGCAGCAGTCGTCCATACAATGACTTATCTTAATAAACCAAAGCATTTCTTTATGCATCACAGCATCGTGTCTAACATACCATGTAATCATTTCATTGTGTTCTAATAAATATTTATGCAAAAATGTTCAATAAATAGTTACATTTTAGGTATGTTGTCTCATCTGTATTCACGTCACTATGGAGGTCTTTTCTACCCACCAACTGGTTTTCCGGGTAAAACCAAAATACCAGCGAACAAGCTGACATTTTAAAAACCGCTCACTCCAAATAACAAAAGCCAAACTGCTCATTTCCCCTCTCTTGTGCACTGGGTGCAGCTGCCAGCTTCCTTCATGTGATCAATACTAAACATTGCACTACCTTCTGTCCTTCATGTATTCACACAATCTGGTATGGTTTCTTTTCCCCTTACTTTAAAGCCACCACAGCCTCCCAGGAGGTTACATGTCACACAAAGGCACACAGATGACATGAAATGTTTGACCTGACAAGTTGCACACTCTGGTGGGAACAGATTTCCTGACATCCAAGTGTGCGAGTGTGTCATTTTGTGTGTGGGCTGACGTCTGTGAACGTGATGTAGCAGTAATGCTGGTTAAGCTCCTCTTAAACTACATAATACAGGGGAGCTGACAGACCGCCTACAACCACCAGCCTCGAGAAGATGAGCACAGTCATGCATGTGTACACTAATTTAATCTAACAGTCGTAAGACTCGCAATCACAGAGATACAGTGAATCATGTGAACATCTGTTATAAAGTATACACACACAGGGGCTTCCCCAGTAGATGCAGGTTCACATATCATCCCATTAATATAAAGATACACACAAATTATTCTGTTTACTTTTCTATTACAAATTATTGCAAACAATAAAACAACAGTCTGGGCCATCGCAGGCTGAAAATCTGTTTGGTCATAGTGCCCCCTACTGGTTATATAACCTTAATGCAGACAGAATTACCCTCCTCCACCTTGAAAAACTGTTTATAAATTAGCCATTAAATACACACCATCGTGCAACAGTTGCCACCAAGTAGCAGTGAAACAATACCATAATATGTCTGGTATTTATGAAAGGAAATGAGTTATTTGAAACATTCGCCCGCTTTTGGCAAACAATCTGTTGTTTTTCACGTCAACTCTCATGAGAGTACGTCGCTGTGGTAACTAACCCCTGGGGGAAACACTGTACAGCATACATCTTTAATGACTTCAAAAAAGGAAAGAGAACTTGGTGCACACGTTTGAATTTAGTTTGGATGTTCTCTAATCTTCTGCTCTTGCTCTTGACGAAGGCGGTCGCACTTTTCTCCTCTCCTCCTCTTCCTTAGCTTCCCTGCTTAGCCTCTTATGTCCTTGTCTAGTCTCGTGTTTTTTGTATTACTTTTCCCTGGAACACTCTCTCACAGTCTGTTCTCTAAAACCTAAAAGAGGAATTATGGATTGGATCAACTGGTCCCTAAATGCAATTGACACCCCTTTCTCAACGAGAAGTTTGGGCTTGGGTGAGCCTGAGTGCTGAAGATATCTACCTACAGTATTCGGAACCATGGTAACAGGGTTCTGGCGAATCGGAGCTGGCTTGGCCCTGACTTATCGAAGAATTAAGGAAGGAATCAAACTGATCTCCCTGTTGGAGCTCAGTCTGGGGGGAGTTATTTTTTTTCTCCTTATCTTTCCTCGTGTGGTGCATTTTCCCATTGTTATACCTCTCTGACCTGTCTTCCCCATGTGATGTTTTGTGTAATGTATGTATGGTCGGAGGGTAAGATGGTGCCGCCATTGCGTGCAATAGGTCGGCAGCCTTATGAAATTTCCCCTTGTGGGACTAATAAAAGGTATATCAATTCAATTCAATAATCCACACGGTAAAAAATACACATACATTTACTTAAATCTTTTAATAAGTGGCGCTGAAGGTTTGACAATATCTTTTAACTTGACAAGGCCAGCACTCACCGCTCTTTCTTGGTCGGCATTCTCTAAGTTCTCAGATTGGCTTCACTGTGGACAGTGAGCTGGTGTTCCAGCAGTTTCCAGTTCACGACAGGGTTCCTAAACACCCTTACCAATTTTTTTTTTTTACCTGAGGGTGACAGCTTGGGTCTTATTCTAGGCCTCAGTGACACATGAGAAAAACTTTTACTTATGTACAAGTTGTGTTACTCTACAATTCTCTTTAGATCTTCACAGAGTTCCTTGGACTTTCCCATTATTTTGGGTATTAGTCAAACAAGTGAGTGCTGTCAAACAAATCCACTTTATGCTGGTAAAGAGAAACTAACTTTTATAGTCAATCATGATCACTAATGAGAAGTTAATAGACCTTGGCCTCCTCAAGTTAAACGACATTGTAGAACCCTCAGCACCACTTCTTAAAAGATTTAAGCGAGTGGATGCAAATATTTGAGCCTATATCCATACTTTACTGTGTGTGCATTAGAGAAAATGCTTTTAAACTTATGCACCTACTCTATTCTATAGTTGCTCTCACACTGTTACACAACACCAGGGCTGTAGCTGAAAGAATACAAATTAAAGTATCCTAAACACATTAACTATTAATTTAACAGAGTAACAATTATAATCTATCAGATTTTCTCATGTTTTAATGACAGAGAACTGATATCCTGTGACCAAAAACACTGACTGTAAGTAACAGTCAGTGTTTTTGGTCACTTTCCTTTCTGGGTTCACAGAGATTAAACTTTATCAGTGTAGTAGATCATTTCCAGAAATACAGATTAAGGCACTTAAAACACACAAACACACACAGTGCCTTTCCTCTCTGCACTGCAGCAGCTTTGTTGCTTACAGCCTGTACCATGCGTTTTACTTCTTCATACAGCATTTTGCTAAAATCGTAGTTTTCTCTTTCTGCTGCCAGCAGACCTGTCCATGTTTATGATTGGTCAGACGCCCCTTTCATATGAACACAATCCTAGCTAGACTCCAAAACCCTGGTTTAACTTTTCAAGTTGATAAACAGCTTTGTGTGCCCACTTATCCTGATTGCTTCACTATAATGTTGGCAAAGCCAAATAAAACAAAGCATGTTGAACTTTCTTCATGATTCCCCCGGAGAAGATTTGGTAAACCTATTAAAATCACAGTAACTTGCTTTGTAAAAAGGAAACTCACAAACAAATTAAAAAAAAATGTATTAAAATGAAACACCTCTTTTATTCAATGATGTCTTAGTAACACAACATTGTCAAATGCAGCATTTACTGCAAATAAGTTAAAAATGTAAACAAAACGTTAACTTTATATTTTTGTAATATCATTCGGGACGTGGCTTTAGGAGGTAGAACGGGTTGTCATTTTTCATACATCTTTACAATTTTTGTTTGTCATTTTGAATATTTATGATGTAAATCTGCAATGCTGCGACTTTAAGAGGTATCCATCCTCGACTGCTTTTATGGACTTCTTCAATCCTTTTTTGCCCTCCTGCTGAAGATTTTTTTTTAGGAAAGTCTTCCTCATTTAATCAAATGGTCTAAAGGCACGAAGGGATCTACAGGCTGGTAAAGCCTCTTGAGGCAATTTCTGACATTAGCTGATAGCACTGACTCCAGGAACGGTGGTCATACCTGTATGCCCTCGATTCTCTCTGTTACCACATAGGCATGATGCATAGCAATGAGAGGAACCTTGACTCCGGCCATTTCTCCCAGCTTGGTGGCCCACACACCTGCGGTAACACAGAAAGGCAAAAATGTCATAAGTGTGTTACCTTTAACACCAAACAAATATCCTTAAAAAGTGTATGGATTTTCCTTTGCTCATTGCGATTTCACTTTTACAGGATACATTTACATCAGGAGAGCAGTTGCAGGTTACATAAAGACTGCTTTACACTGTGTTACATTTGTGGATTTGTCATCTTTGAAAAAGAAAGCCAGCAAACCTGCACAGTTCACCACACAAGGTGTCTCAATGGTTCCGTGTTGTGTCTCCACTGCCTTTACCCTCTTCACACCAATATCATCAGTTCGCACTTGAATGCCAGTTACAGGACAGTTTTCGATCACCTGATTTAAAGAATGGAAAACTGAAATGCTGTATGCACTTTTTTCCATGCAAGTACAATGCACAGGGAATCAGTCGAGTAATATTACAGACGTATAGATGTCCGACTGGAGAAGCCTCGTATTTACTTATTACTACAGAGGAAAAGTAACGGAACATGTGAGTCATTTGTGCAAAGCTTAAGAATGTAGTGTAGTAGTTGGGCTGTTCACAATATAAAGACATGCAAAATCAAAACTCACACACACACACACACACACACACACACACACACACACACACACACACACACACACACACACAGAAATCTATGGGTAGAAACAGAATAAAGCTGGCCATCAACTAAAGAGGCATTTAGCAGATCAGTAGACATTACCGTGGCTCCTCGGGCAGTGGCTGCCCTGGTCAAGGTTGTGCAGGTACCTGCAGGGTCCATGGTGCCGTCTTTTGGAACATACAGTGTTCCATAAAGATCATCGACATTCATCAGAGGATACAGGTCCTTCGTCTCAGCCGGTGAAAGGACATGGGACTCAATACCATAAACTTTGCCCAGCTAGAAAAAAGAAAATGGGGAGATGACGTGTTCAATGTAAATATTACTTTAAAGGCACCTTTGTTCCAATTTCAAATAAGTGGTTAGAGAAAAATCTGCCATCATTTTAAATCATATCAAAGTCTTTATCTTCATGATAAAGCAAACAGAAAGACTCTTTTCAATACTGTAACTATAAGTTGAGTCTGCCGCTATGGCAGCATAGCGTTCTGTATTAGTTTTATAATATGCAAAGGGAACAGTAGTGTTGTTTGTGAACTTTGAAAATCTAACACACACAATTAAGGTAAATTAAGTTTTTTTCTCTCTCATGTACCTCATGTTAAGCAGTAAAAAAAACTTTTTTAGAAAACCCACAATCAATTTTACATTTAAAAGCCCCAAGGAGGAGCAGCAGTCGAATGTTTCATGAACTAGATCAACAACAACTGATCAACAGACTGATCAATGAATACAAACACATTTTCATGTGTTTTGCCTCTGTTTACTGAACAGTGAATCTATGCTTTCCTAATAATGTTCACAACCAACATGTCTCTGTCTTTACCGACATGAGGCGCTTGTACTCGTCAAGTCTTTGCTTGTTGGAAGCAATGAAGAGCCCTCCGTTCTGGATCCAGCCTGTATGGAGACCCGTCTCCTCCTCTAGGTCTTTGCTAATCACATTCCTGGTGTGGGCCAGGAGCTCTACCTCAACATCACTGGGTCGCAGCTGCCACAGGAGGCCTAATAAACAGAGGGACACATGAGTGCAAAAAACTTAGTGGACATTAGTGAGCGTCTCGCACATCACGCACATGCAGGTGAACACACTTGATAATAATTACTACACAAAATTACCAAAGAGTGCTTAATTTACTCTTAAAACTTCTTATTAGAACGCTGCTATTAAAGTAGGATGTATAACTTCAGGCAAACACAGCTCTCTGTACTGTTACAGACTGTTACCTGCAGTATGCCAGGTGGTGCCAGCAGTCAGTCTGTCTCTCTCCAGTAGAACTACATTAGTCATTCCCATTTTGGCCAAGTGGTAAATGGTCTGACAGCCCAGGCTTCCTCCTCCAATCACCACCGCATCAGCTGACCTGAGGCAGGAGGAGGTATATGAAAAGACTAAAAAGGCTGATGCTACTCTTGACATATGAAGGTAACCAACCAGCCTGTGAGCTAGCACTAACTTATCAATTCACAAGTGCAACACAGTCCCTTTTTCTTTCCCCCTGCTTCCAATCTTTAAACTACAGCAACAATAATGACCAATAACTCCTTTTTTTAAATTAAACGAACAATAAACACTCTTGTTTTGATACAAACCTTTCCCAGTGCAAAGTATCAACAGAGCATCTATATTCTGTTCAGAACTTGTACATCACTGTGTCCATTCCTCCATGAACTAGTTTTTCTTCACAATCACGTATTAATCCACCACTTCAACCATTAGATTAATCAGCTGTTTATGTATAAAGTCACTGCATATAATCTTAAGAATATATTTCTGAAAACATTCCCACACAATCCATTTATCCATTCAAAACCCAATCTAACCTGGGTAATGGCTTAGTGGGTCCTGAGGAGGCTCCATCCTCCTGTTTGAGTGTCTTCTCGTAGGGAACACTCTTTTCCTTGGTGGGCTCCGAGCTGTAGGACCGAGTGCTTGTCCGGCACAGCGGAGAAAGAGGAGGCCTCACTGCTGAGAACACTCGCCAAACTGCGCTCCTAAGGAAGGCCATGACCCCTGTGTGCAGTAAGACAACACAAAGGGACATTTTAAGTTTTAAGTTATAACACTCAAGGTTTCAGAACAAAGTCATTATGTACAAAAACTCTTTTCTGAAGTATTTTCTGCTTGTTCTGGCTAGGATTTGTTTTGTTTGTTTGTTTGTTTGTTTGTTTGCAACATTTTGTACCCAGTGAAAACCATAATAACTGAAAAATAAATGTAAATAACTTTATTATACTCAGGTTCAGGGGAATTTACGCAAATTTGCGCAGGGTTAGTAAATCTAGTGGGCAAGACTTGGCGGATCGAGTATATAATGTTCAGCCACGTGCAAACACCAATAGTTTGACCAAACAAGGATTTTGGAAAAAACACTTTGGGCACCTGGGCGCAAAAACGGCAGCACATTCACCACTAAATAACCCCGCACTTAATGCGTATTACAAAGCTTTTAGCGGGTAAATGTGCAATTTATGCAATAACGTACAGAACGCGATGCACAGAGTGCGCTCGCCTGGAAACGACAAGTCTCAAAATAAAAGAAACTACATTAGCAGTTCCAGGTAGCAACGTGGCGTGAAGTTCTGCGATCTCAAACAACGGAGCATGCAAATTACATAATGCAGCAACTTTTGGATGTACATTCATGTCGCACTTACGCTCGATTCCGCTTGTCCAAGATTGCCCCGGAAACACACTCGATGAAAGAGGTAAGTATTGAGAGGGGCTGCTTCCAGAATTAAGGGAGTGGGTTTATGGTGAGAAACGGTCAAGTAGTTCCGCAGACCAACGAGCGACAGAACTGCTGTCGTGGCCCACAAGACACAGCTCAGTAGCTGTCAGATAAATGTGAGCTGCAGCGGTGTTAGACTGCAGTTGTAGTTCCTACCTTCACATGCGGTTTGGCATACAACTAGAAATTAGATCAGTCAGATAGGATTATACCCAAGCAGCCTAGTAAGTGGTGGAATTGAGCAACAACACATGACACTTTGGAAACGCCAGAAAAGGGTTAAGTAGACTTGACCAAGTACCTCAAATGAGTCAGCAGAGGTTCGTGACTTCGCTGGTTTTGTCCCATAAACATAAGTATGCACAAAATACCTCCTATGTGAAAATATTCAAGAAAATATATAATGTGCCAAAAGAGAAACATTAATGTCAATTTGCTGTTTGTTCTGTTTGTTTGGTTCATGAATGTGTGGGTGTCTGTATTTCCGGGAGGCTAGGGTAACAGCTGCTATTGACAGCCCAGTGATCAAATCAAGCAGAAGTAGGTCATCACATATATGTTGAACATGTGGAGTTTGTCTGTGTGAGGCATTTGACTCAGTGTTGTGGGGATGCTGCAGTAGGACAGGGGAAGAAGAAAAAAACACTTTAAACCTCAAAAGAAGGCTCCTTGCCACACTGAATGATTCAAACTTTGGCTCCAGACCCCTGAGACATCTGTAGTTGAAGCCTGCCAAGCTGACCTCATGATTCCCCACCTCCTAACCAGCAGCCAATAAAGTGCAAAGTTTAGGTCCCTCCTGTGCCAGGTGGTTCTTTCTAGTTTAGACAGCTTTGAGCTAGACTGAAGCTGAGTATAGGAGCTGTTGCCAGCACTGGTATCTTATGTATAAGAATCTGAAACGAAGAAAGTGGACCACAGCTACCTTTGAACTTTGTAGATTTCCTTAAACTAATTTTTTATGTGACTGAATAACAGTGTCTTAAGGACAGAGTGTTATGTCCACGTGTATTTGTGTGCACGCACATGTGTATGCTGCTATGCCAGCAGATGCAGCAGAACACTGAGCTGTAAGCACATAGATTGTATATAGTGGCTTCTCTTCTCTTCCTGTGGTATGTGGCAGAGTGTTCCAGAGAGAACCAGATAAACTACTGTATATGCAGACAGCTGGGGTGTGCTTAGAGGTAAATGTGTATGCTTTGATACAGACTTGGGTATCAAGTGCTGGTGTACTTAGAAAGACAGAAAGAAATAGATTCAATCAGACTCAGAATACTTTACTAGGGGAAATTCTTTTTCGTTACAGTGCTCCATTATAAACAACCATTAACAAAGACAGACAATACACTAACTAAGAATAGCACAATATATACAGGCATATATATACATAAAGGTCACTTATTAATAACAAACCTGAGTCAATAGCTAATAAATGGGTTTTTTTTGGGTTTTTTTGCCTGTCCCGTTTGGCTCTTTTGCCATCAGAATTGTTGTCTAAAGGTAAAGAAAGATGCCCAATGGATTTACTTTACCAAATTGACCATCCCAGCCTTGCCGTAATGGTCTATTTGATTCACCTTTTATTGTTTATTTTATTTTCACTTGCTGAATACGGGACAGACTTGACTGGGGGAAAGAAGGGGAGAAAGAAAGAGGGAAAGAAAAACAGCTTAGAAGAGGGACGGGGGAGAAGGGCAAAAAACAAAAACCAACAGAACGGGCAGGGAGAAAAAAAATGCATATATCAATCACCTGTTGAGAAAGAAAAAAGAAAACAAGCAGAAGAGAACAAGAGTAATAGAATAAACAGCATCACAATGATATATGGGAATATGACAGTAAATACTAAATATTAAACATTATTGTGCAGCACATAAGATCAACAGAACACAGTGTGCTTTGTGGGTGTGATCACCCGTGTGTACACCTGTGAGCATGGACGCGCTTGTTTTTTTAAAAGGTTCCTTCATGTAATGATCTGCTAGAGGGTGTGGGGGGGATAGCTAATAACTGTTACATGAATAGACTGAGAAAATATTTTTTACGTTTGTGTCGAGCCCTTCATTTTTAGAGTGCTCTCAGAAGTTATTTTCACAGCAGAGAGAAAGCTGTCCTTTACTGGTAACTTGTAAAGATGACAAAGAAATAAAAGAAGAAATTATCAGCTTTCATGGTGATATGCACATACATTTTTCAGTATCTCAGAAATGGCAGTGTTGACTTGATTCCCCCATTTTCAGCTGTGTAAGTTAACAACTGATGGACAAGTTGTCGTGGAAGTGTCTCACCCTTTTGCACACAATGTTCACAGATGAGAGATGAGCAGGTGTTCTTTCATGAGAGGTTATTTGGAGGCAAAGCCTTCACGGGATTCTGTGTAGCCCTGTGAAAAACTAATAATTTTCAGAAGCACCTTTAGCAGCAATAAGTGGAAGTAATCATTTTCTTTATGACTTTATCATCCTCTCACATTGTTGTGGAGGTATTTTGGCCCACTCGTCTCTACGGCTTTGCTTCACTTCATGAAGGTTTGCAGGCATTCGTTTTATGAACAACAGGACTGTGCAATATGGCCAAGTACCTCTAGTACCTTCCAAAGGACATCTGTCCTAGAAGTCTTACAGTTTGTTCAGATCCAATTTTTCAAATCTGAGCCGTCCTGCCATGTAGTGAGAGGAGGTTTTGGTTTGTTTTGTCCTGGTAATTCATCCAAACGAGCTATACTTGTTCTAATTTTACTCTCATGAAATTTAACCCTTACCTAACACCTGAAAAAAAAACCCAGTTCACCTGTAACAACAGAAAACAAAAAGGCTATGCTCTAGAGACCACAGATCCAATAGTGCAAGAACCCACGCGTCATGTGAACTTATTTGTCAGTGTTACAGAGGCAGTACTGCAAGATGAAACACTATTTTTAGTAATAAGAAACATAGGGCTGGACTGGAATTTGACAATAATTTCATTGGGAGAAAGTTTTATTCACAGGTCAGGAAATCTCTGCAAAAGGTCTGCATGGACATGTATGGATGCTCCTGGAACTTTCTCAATCATCTTAGTTTTATTGTTACAAAGCAGTTGCTCCTTTCTCAATGGCCTGGCCTTCAACTTGGAGCACAGACTGTTTTTGAGTTGAAATTGAAGAGAAATATCCTGCACTTTGGATTATTCTGCAGTTTTTTAGTGCCTCTGCAGAATGCATGGGCAGGGTGCGCACTCATCTTTCTTCTCCTGGGAGTTTGGGTAAGTTTCCCAGGATTTTCAACACCTGCTAAAGGGGAGAACAACAGGTAAGATGGAGTGGGGGACTTGTGAGTTTTTCAGGTGTTTAACTGGGATTTATTTTTTGGGTTTAGATTCCCAGAATCTGATTTTATTTTGTATGTGTGGCATTTTTTGTAAATATTTATATTTTAAGTAATGAAAATAGAAAACTGGTTTTATTGGCATTTGTTAATGTGGAAACACCTTTTCTTATGTGGTAGCAGTAAAATGAGGTGCAAAACAAATAATTCATGTGGCTTTAAATACGAAATGTTCGAGAAATAAATCACGCAACCTTACTTTGCTTCTGCCCTTATAATTCTGAAATGTACAGTATTGTATTTATTTCCTTGTGGCCTGCACTTTAAAACACATCAAGTTGGATAAAGACAGTTTTTGTAGTTTTGCCTCTGCACTGTACACTACCACAGAGGCTTTTAAATCAAACATTAACTGATTGAAGTGCTGACTTTCGGCTTTAGGGGATTTAACAAAATAATGCTTTAACTTTTAAGGAATCGTTGCCATTTTTATACACAGCCCCTATTTGTTGGAAAAGTAATCGAACAAATGACTGACAAGCAGTTTCGTGGCCAGGTGACGGCTGATCCCTTGTAATTAAATGACAAATGTAGTAGACATAAGAATGATTCAAAGTGTTGAATTTATATCTTACACAAATCAAAGTCTACAGCTTGTTACTGTTATTTTAATTGAGACCTAAAGACACATCAGTGCCAGTGAGCAAGCCCTTTATTCTGCTGAAAAGAAAAAGACTAAATAAACCATCAGAGGCAGTAAAGACTTTAGGAATTGTCAAATCAACAAACTGGTACGTTGTTAATAAGAATAAATGCACTGGCCAGCTCAGGGCCTGAAAAACCACAAAATACAACCAAAGTGTAAGCATTTCTAAAGGCAAAGAAATGGGATATTATTCAGTGGCCAAGTCAGTCATAATCCAACAGAGCATGCTTTTCAGTTATTAAATACACAAGCTGAAGGCAAAGAGCCCTAAAAACAAGCAGCAACTGATGGTGGCTGCTGTAAAGGCCTGGCAGCCAGCATCTCAGTGAAGCAAACACATTTAACAATGTCAATGTTTTTTTTAGACTTAATGCTGATGGCTGAAAAGGATTTTCATCAGTTCTGAGCCTCTAAAAATGGGGCACTGTATATGAAAATGACTGTAATTCCTAAACAGTTAATGCAAAATTTTTGTAAATCCCCTTGAATAAAAACTGAAAGTCTGCACATCAATCACAATGACTGATTTCAAATCCACTGCAAAAATTGTGTCTTAAACTGCATTTATGTACTTCTTCATCTACACACACATCTATAGGTGTGCATGTATGTAAACTCTGGCTGCAGTAGCAGAATTTAGGAAACAGTACCCCCTTGTGTTTTTTCTTCTTAGCACATGGTAGCTTTGTGTATTTAATAAAATATGTTCATTTGTTAACTAACAGTCCATAACCATTTATATAACAGTGCAAAAATATTTGTATTTCAATTCTGAGCTGCTTGCTATCCAGATGTGAAATCAGTGGCAATTAATGAATCGTAATATTAATATAAATTTATTGCTCAAAGATGCAGAGACAAAAAGTAGACCCAGAGACAAAACTGGACCCACGTATCGTACATCATGTTGTGCAACTCATCTGTGATTCACAAAGAAAAACAAATAAGTTAAGATATTTGCAGGAAAACAAATCTTCAATGTCAAAAAAACAATATACGAAACAGACCGTCATCAATGCGCACAAAAATGAAATACAAGTTTAGTTTGACCTGATCAAATCCACAAACTTGCGACATCAGTTACCTGCACTGCAACCCTGTCTAGACGAGTGTCAGCTCAATCCTGGAGCGACAGCGATGCTACAAAAGACTGTTAAAGGCTGTACTTTCATAAGACCTTTAAACACTTAAGCAACACATAGCATTTATACTTTTTAAACATAACATGTGGACGCTCTCCAAAACTGGATAAAAACCAAAGCTACACTCTTCAAGCCTCAACATGTTGCATAGATTTTATGTAAGTAATTGGGCCTTCAAAAAAAAGTATTTTTACTTTAGGAATTTCTCGTGGTTGTAATAGTGTCATAAAACCTGAAATCTTCTCAAACGGTTCTCGAATCATGACGTAATATTTTAAAACCAGTAATATGCGCAAAATTACATGAAGGTAATTTTGTTTCCAGTTCATGTTAAACTCCTAAGGATGAACATGGCTAAATGTGAAAATATTAAAATACAGCTAGGGAGTAGAAGATAATCCAAGTTAATCCATTAAGTTAAGAAAAAAAAAAAAATCAATCTGAAGAAGCGTAAACTGATCAAAAGCAAACATTCAATGTGTAAGAGCTACTAACAAAATACTTATCAATTATGGTCATTCGAGATTTGTGTTAACTCTCCAGTCCCCAGTGGAGGACACACGCAAGCACAGAAATGTACAGACAGATTATAGCAACACGAAAAAAAGAAAAGAAAAAAAACAATAGCCAATACATTTCAGACTTTTTTTTTCCAGACTTGCCAGGAGTTGTTAACAGTGCAATTACTGAACCCTCAGTTAGAATATGATCAACAGATTACGCACTATCACAGGAGTACATTTAAACAGGTTGACACGAACCATACAGAATGAATTAACGCTCTAAATGAAGCAACTAAACTAGATGACTGAGCAAAGTAAAAGAAAAGCACATAGAAGGATAAACACTCTAAACATGGGGTTGTTTGAGAAAAATCTATTGTGCAGGTTGACGCATTTATTACACCGAGACAACTGTGCATGTCTTTACACAAAGCCGAAACGAACACCATATCTTATGTTGTTGCCTCCTATCTAAGAAGCTCAGGTTAAATGACACTGAGCATGTCAGTTTTATGACACAAGGTGGAGTGAAAGTATCACTCTCTCCTCAGTAACAGTCTCTCTGACCTCATGGCCTGTGGACCTGCAGATTCTCCTCAGCTACATTTGTGCTGCACTAAAGTTCATCCCTGTAGGCGACTGACAGCATCTCGGGTGCCGGGGCAGCCCCTTTCAGGGTCTTGTGGGAGCCCCTCCAATCAGTCCTCACAGAGTCATCATCCCACAGGGTCGACGTCTCTGTGTCGCTCACCCACTGGGGATCACCGGCGTAGTGACACGGCTGGACCAGGAGGGGGTGCGCACTGAAGGCTTGTAAGTTTCTATTGGGGAAGTGGGATTTGTAGTCCTCGCTGCAGAGGGAGCACAAAGGCAGTGTTTAGACTGGGTAAAATCATTCGAAACTTAAAAACACAGGATAGGATGTCATAATAAAGAAAAAATAACAAAAATAACAGCGCTGGAACTACAGATAGAAGTTTTGTTTTTCTTGGGGGGGCAGTTTGAGCAATTTTTCACCATTTACTGAAATGTTAAATATAAACATCAGGGATATTTTGTGATTTCATTACACTATACTGATTTGACAAGAGATGGTGACAACAGGCCAATTTCAGAGATGGTTCAGTTACTCTTGGCATGAAGGGCAACAATGCATGGGGTGCATTTGTTGAGTGTTCTCAGCAGACTAGTCAAGCATATCAAATCAGAATCACAGTGGTGTGAAAAAGAGAGAGAGTGCAGAGAAAGCAGGCTGGCTACAGGCCAGATTTCCACACATGATGGAGCACACAGACACAGCCAGGCCTTCTGGTTTGCAGATCCTTTGGCACAAAGTGCATTTCATTTCTTAGAGTTAGTTCCTGATGACGAGAACAGTTGCCTTGTTGGGGAAACTGTCAAGGATATCATTGTTAAAGCCAGAATTTGATTCACCCATTACACTAATAATTTAAAGATACATTTGGAGGTGAAGTCGATATTTTATAGACCTCCAGCAACCATCTAGCATGAAATAGAAGCTTTACAGATGATGGCTCCAAGTCAGCAGTTGAAGGATCGCCAATGTGGTTAGACTTCCTTTGTACGGAGAGACAAACGTGCATTTTTATTGCATCAGACAGTCGTCTGGACCTTTGCAACCAAAAATGTGAACCTCATAGTGATGCCAGATGAACGCTAAGGGATAACCATAGTCATCATGGTGGAGGAACCATGGATGTCTGTATTATTATGGCAGTAGTTAAAACTAAACAACAACATCTGCGGTTGAAAAGTAAAGGCAATGATTAAAAAAGCAGTTCCAACAATGGCCACTGGAGGCTTGCTCCCAAAGTGAGTCAACCCCAATGACTCCAATGTTAGTAGGCCAACTTCCAACCAGAAAATACAATTTCCCCTTCAACTGGTAGGCCTTAGCTATTTAGAGTGACTGAACTGTCTGTGCTCTAGTTATGGTGCATATAAAAGAATATTTTTAGTGAGCTTTAATTAGCAGGTATCTATGTCTGTGACAAATTCACATGATGCAACTTGTCAACCATCCTACCATCTTTCATTTCTTGACAATAGCTCATTTCTATCTGCCAAAGCTGAATATATATGATAAATGATAATAGCGACCACCTATCAATGGGCTAAAATTATTCTTTTTTGTGATTATACACGTAAAACACATTATTAAAGCATCATTTTGATTTCGCAGCCAACGGCATAAACAAACCAAAAAATGCTGTAGTTCTAAATATAAGGCTTCAAAATTAAAGTCCCCAAACAAATGACTGATATTAGTGTGGCAGCATAATTCTTTTATATCAAATCTGTAATAAAGAAACTTTGATGTTGCAGCTTAATTTTTGTTTTGTTTTTACCAAAGTAAGTACAGACCATACTGTTAGTGCCACAAACACTGGTATAAACTTAAATAACAAACCATAGAAATTTAAGTATGGACTAAAATAGTCTGGACTGACCATACAGTAGTGTAATTCATGGAGAAAGGCGACAACATAGGCTTGGAAAAAATATATATCTTCTTTACCACAAACAAAACTGAGTCCACTCTGGCTGCTCACATCTGTCGGTCACACTGTGTTTAAGAAAATGTCAGCCCACACTGACAAAAATTCAGACCATTAATCCCAGAAAGAGATGCAGACACGAGGCCTGTGCATCATAAAAGGAAAATGCTGAGAAAAATTAAATCTATTTTGAAATGTGGTGCGCTAATTCAGCTTGACAAGCACAACATATCAAAGTGACTTTCTTTCAGAAAAACGCAGTGAAGTAAAACCACAGACTTCCACATAGTTCTTTAATCTATACACTCCAAACAAAACTAGGCTAAATATAAAGCATGTACACATGTTTAGGCAGCTATAGAAAAGAATGTTTTTAGCCCTGAGGTCTGCTTTAGTTTAAACGGTCTCGCAGGAGAAGGAGATTAAAGAGTGCTGAAGAACAGGTTTCATTATAGCGGTCACTGTATGGAACATACAAGAAGAAAACCAGAAAAACTTCAAAGTGCGCAGAGAGTAGCATGAGTGTATTTTTGACACTTTTTTATGATACATACTTCGGATGTTTGTCGTACATAATGGGGAGGAATTCATCAACAGGCAGCATCTTGGAAAGTGGCTCAGCATTGAGGAGTTTCTGGGCTCCCTGTAGGGAGATGGCGTAGGACAGAGTCCAATACGAGTAGTCGGCCATCACCAAGTTACGAACGTTCTCCACTGGCTCCTCCTTTCCAGGATTCACCTGCTTCCTGCCCAAGTATCTGTGGCAACATAAAGCGATCATAAGAACTAAAGAAGTTAAAAAAAAAAAATCAGGCGCGGGGTAGAAGCAGCAAAAACCCAGGATGGTCAAGGCATGTGATTTTTACAATCAAACTCCACCTTGCTGTTCTTTTCTGCCTAGCAGGCATAAAACATTTTTCAGCACATGCTCTGTACGTGCATTTTCCTTCCAAATATGTACGAAAAAAGAAAGTGCTAACATCACATGTTTAAGTATTTTGGATGAGCTTTAACCATGGAGCTTGGGATATTCTATTAGGGTTTGTTTTTTTTTAATTAAATGATTTTATCTCATAATATGAGAAAAAAAAATCACCCTACTGGACTTCATGGTTCTGCACAGTACACAAAATGTTAATGGTTATAGCAAATACGATTGCTCTACAAAAATATGTTCCATTAAGTTATTCTTGTATATCATAGTCATAAATTTGTCCCAAATTCTACACTAGAAAAACTTCAAACTTTGTCTGAAGTTTTGTCTAATTCCGTTTGTATGATTTCAAACAAAACCAGCAAACTATATCAAAGGGTACAAATGCACTTTGGACTTTATAATGAACCTAACCTGAGCTTTCTTACCTGCGTCTCATTTAACCTTAACCAAAAACAGGAATTGGACTGGAAACTAGGAGTAAAATGTGTCTTACATGATGTCCCAGTCCAGCTCCACCTGCTCCACATCCTGCATCATTTTGAGTATTCGTCGCTTGAAGTTGGCCTGAAAGCGAACATCATCTTCAAAGACCAGGGCCTTATCCATCTGCATGTCCACCATCTATGGAAAAAGAAGTATACACACTGTAAGCCTGACCTGTTAAATAAATCAAAAGGTTTGTGTCATAAAAGCAGGTTTTTATTTTGCATCCATCTTCTTTACAAACATGACTCTTGGTTTTCAGCTGAGTGCAATTATTTTCATTTACAGTTGTGAAAAAGAAAGTACGCCTTCTTTGAATTTTAAGGTTTTACATAAAAATAATCTGGTCCTTAGCAGTTCTTATGTAAATGAAAATTCAGATTAACAACCACACATTATATATTACATCATGTCATTATTGATTGTATGAGAACAACTCCATAATGCAGAAGCTAAGGACAACTTACTTAGATATGAATTAAGAGGGTAAATAGCAGCCAGGCACTGTGAATCAAATACACTTAACATCAGCAGGTGTGGGCACTTACATAAAAGCAGATGTTTTGGCAGTTTGGTGGTATGGAGCATTCAGGTGTGTGTTAACACAATGTCAAGAAGGAAAGACATCTTACACATGACCTTAAAGAGGCAATTGTTGCTGTCTTTTGTCTTGGAAGGGTTGTGAAGCCATTTTCAATCATTTGAAGTCCATTTTTTGAAAGCATTCAGTACAGCTGACAATCTTCCTGTGGACATCCCAGCAAATGTCCACAAACAAACGGCAAGTTTGAAGGGTTGCAAGAAGAAAGCCTCTTCTTGGCAGCACGGCTTAGGTTTGCAAACTTACATCTAAAAAACCCCACAAGACTTCTGGAACAATGTGTGGTGGACATATGACACCAAAGTGAAGATGTTTGGCCATAATGGACGCTGAGATGTCTGGAGAAAACCCAAACACAGCACATAAACCTCACACCAACTGTCAGCACAATGGTAGAGGGGTGATTATTTATGCTTTTTCTACAACCACAGGACCTGTGCCCGCGAGTCAGAAGCTCCTCTGTATACCAGATCATTCTAGTGTTAAATATGAGGCCTTCTGTCCAAAAGTTAAAACCTTTGGGTCATGCAGCAAATCTACAACAAAATGCCTGAAAAAGAAATAAATCAAGGTGTTGCAACGGCCGAATCAAAGTCCAAACCTCATCTCCGCTGAAATGCTGTGGTGGACTTTAAGATAACTGTGCATAAATGGATGCCTGCAAACCTCAGTGAAGTGAAGCTGCGTGCTGTAAATGAGAGCGGGCCAAAATTCTTCCACAATGATGTAAGACACCGATTAAGTCATCCAGAAAACCACTACTTCAAGTTATTACTGCTAAAGGTAACGTAAAAGCTACTGAAGTTGATATAGAAACGCTTAGAACTCAAAGAAGTTATAGTTTTGTTTTCACATGACTGTATCATAATATTGTAAAAAGGTGATTTGCAAGGACTGTATATACAATTATGCTTTCTTCTTATATAGTATACTATGAAGTATAAATTAAAATATTTGAGTTTTAACTTCAGAAAAGGGATTTGACAAATGTGTGACAGTGTGTGTCCTCTCACCTCCTTCCAGATGTAATAGTGACTGAGGAAGCAGCCCACTTCTCCTTTGGTCAGAGTGCGTCCAGAGAATGGGTCATAGTATCCTGGCAGCAGGTCGACACCCAAAATCTTAATGTCACTGCTGTTCAGTGCACTGCATACACACACACACACACACACACACTTTTTTTTTGGTAATTCTGTCTTTGATAAGAGAAGAGCGTTCAAATTTGGAGCATACGTAGCCATAACGCTGATATTTATTATAAGCCACAAGTGTCCATATTTTCAAGATAAGAATTGAAATTGGCCTCACACCAAGAGTCTGAATTGACACGGTGTTACATTTCTTGACAAACTTAACTATAAAACTGAGAGAGGAAAAGACCTGAGAGCAATCCACTCACTTTCCATCCACGGCATCGACCACTTTGACGTCAATCTCAAGCTCGTTTAGAGAGAACAACATCCTGTCTCTGCGGTCAGCACGCCGTCGCAGGTTAATCAGATAAATCTGTGCAGGAGATGGGCGACCCAGAACGTTATTTAAATCTGGACACTGTGTACCATCATCATAAATCTTTGAGTTTCATCAAATGGGTCGACTGCATATTCGGCATGTTTTCAAACTCTATTCACTCAGTGAAAACATGCATCATAATTGGTCTGAATCTTGCTGAACATAAAGTACTACCTAAAAAGTTGATGTATAATTATATTATATATTACACATAATTACATCCATGCTTTCATTACTGCATAGAACAAGCCTGTATAAGGTTGGGTTAACCTTTTTTACACATTAACTGAAAAAACTTGAACTGGTTCACCTACCTCATCAAATCCCAGGAGGTCTCTCTGTTTTGGAAACATGTGGATGAAACGGGAAGGATACATGGGTGGCCCGTCGACTTTTCCACAAACAGGGATATTAGTTTGGGGGGGGGTAAAAGAGAGGTGAGCTGATGTGCCTTTTTTAACTGTCATTATTTGCCTTTAGTATTACAAATCATCTATGCTCTTACTCATAGACTCAAGGTGAACATGGACAAAGTTGAGACGATCGTCTTCTAAGGTGTAGTGCGGTTTGGCTGGAACGTTCAGGTAGCCGTAGCGCTCCTTGTTGCACAGGTACATCTGTATCTCTGAGTAGCAACGAAAAGCAATCATTTAATTAATTATAAACATATTTATTCATGTATATTTTCAACACTGAGTCCTGAAATATACAAATATTCTACAGTGAAGCAAGCGCAGACGTGATTTAGTGCAACAGCTGTGTTGAGTAAACCTGACTGCTGAACATAATAACACACGAGCATCTACAGACCTGCAGCCCGACAGGAGAAGGCAAAAACAATAATATCGTCGTAGGGCCACGAGTAGTCCTCATGAGGAGGATAGAAAGCAAGTTTTTTCATGCCCTCCTTCCTCAAATCCAGCAGCAGGGTGCTGTGGACCATAGGCACAGGGAAGCAGCCCACTCGGTGACGATGACGGGTGGGGAAGTACTCTGCTGTTCGACGATAATATCCCTAAAGAATTGAGATATTTAAAAAAATATGCTTACTTATGTCCTAGATCTGTGTCATTTTTCTGCATTATGTTCATCAAGAAAGCAACAACAATTTTTTTTCTCAAGTATTCCCTTTAAGCGGATAAATAATCACTCATTTTTAAGTGCTGCTCACCTGTGGAGTAATACCACACCAGTAGTTAGAGTACGCCCCCGGAGAATCTAACATAGGAGCGATGACTGACTTGTTTTCTGCTATCAGCAGGTTGAGGGATTCTGGATTTGTGAGGATATTGTCCGTGTCTGCGTACTGAATCACAGAGACAGAAAATACAAAGGAAAAAGTATTTTTCATTCAAATTACAGTTGCTAAGTTTTTTTTTTTTCTTGGATGAAATAACAGCCTCAGTAAGAAAGACATCCCATCTGCTTAATCAAGAAAGGAGATAATATGAAACTTATCACAAGAAAGGTACCAAGATATAATCAGCCCAGCGTTTCCTGGCAAAGTTGAGCGCTGCTTGTTTCAGCTTCATCACATATTCGTATCTGCTGTTGGGCCAATGCTTAGGACCCAGCTCTCCAGCATAGGACCTAAGACACACAGAAGTACAGTATTATTAGGGGATATAATACTATATTGGTAAAATGTTGTATAATTTGCCACGTGAAGCAAATATGTGATTGGCTGAATGGTTTCTATTGTAAAAAAAACAAAACAAAACAAAAACAGCATCGCTGAATCATGCTGGAGTGTTGACCACAGTGAATACAGCATACCGATGCTAATGGATTAAATAAAACCAGAACAGTAAATAAGTTCTGTGGTGCTGTGAAAAGAGCATAAACAGGTGGATAACGTAACAGTTTCATGACTGTAGAAGTTTAGCAGAACTCACTCAGAATAATAACTGACAGGCATAAAAGAGTCTGCTAATAGAAAGCAGAGCATCATGTACAGACAAGCCTAGATATGCTTTGTCAAACTCTTTTTTTAGCTTTTAAAATGAATACCAGATGAACTGCAAAGTTGCAGCCTACAGAGGGGTGTTAATACTTTCACTGAACACGTGGACAAAAAGAGCCAGTAAGAAAAATCAATACATGTACAATCTGAACATTGTTTGATTTATTTTGTCAATACCAGGATGACACTTCAGAGGATCATAGATTTGCCTCCTGATGAGTAAAAGGGATTGTTCCTGTCATTTCCCTTGTAGAAAGCAACTATTGAAGGTGATCTGCTTTGATCCACGTGTGCTGTAAGATCAAGTTGGGGGTGTTTCCAAACTCAAATCCCAGCAGTACACAAAGCTCAACACATTAACATTTTCAGACTTACGTTGGCTTGTCCATTGGTCTCCACTCAACATAATGGTAATATTTCTGCATGACAGTCAGCCACTCCTTCAGTATGGCTGTGGTGTTATCTGTGTTGTGATCCGTGGCTGCCCTGGAAAGCACAGAGAAGGCAGAGGGTGAAGTAACTGCACCAAACGTAGGGAACCTAAACTTGGCGTTGGTTCTTGTTATTACTTATTCCCCTCGTTGTGCCAGGGGAACAGTGAAATCTACATTATGTGAATTTTTCAGCTCCTCATCATGCCGGTGCAAAATTCATGCTGCATTCCCGCTCTCATTGGTAAATGTCAAATTATTTGCTGACAGGCTTATTTGATTCAGTGCCCAATACTGATGTTCAGCCTGTGTATTACTCGATCAACAAACAAAACCAAATACAATACAAAACAACACAATACAAATGATTACTACTTATTTGAGCAGAGTTTTCAGGTTTGTAAACGTTTTAATGTTGTCTCTCAGTTCCACTGAATGATCTGAACAATCATTTTCCGCTTCTCTGGTTTACGGTACACCACAAGGTTCTATTTTGGGGCCTTTACCGTTTTTGTCATATCTGCTCACTTTTCAGCACATTTTCATCACTTTTAAGGACATTTCTTATCACTGCTAGATAGACTGGCTGTCAAATTTCTTCAACTTAGTGAAGAGAAAGCAAAAATCCCATGACAGATTTGTGCTGAAGGTAATGGAAATTCTAGATTGCCTTGCCCCTTTTGCTAAAGTTTGAATACTCCCGTTAAAGCTCTGGTTCACTCTCGTTTTTATCACTTCAGAAATATTGTCAAGTTAGGTTTCATTGTTTCACAGTCTGAATTGGAAATCAATCAAATCATAATCAGTCTTTTATTTCATCACATCTAGATTATTGCAATTCGCTAATTCAGTTCCACTTGCACCCCATTAACTTCAGTCTACTTTAAGATTCTAGTTTTGACTTTTAGAGCTCTGCATTAACAAGCACCAGCATATATCAGGTATCTTTTTGTATCCTTACATCCCCAGTACATCCCTGAGGTGACTTAATCAGGACTTGCTGGCTGATATACAAATATAAAAATAAATGAGACAAATACCCCAAGAGTTTGAAGCTCTCTCCCACTGAGTCATAGCACTATGAAGTTGGTGATCTCTTTTAAAAATGAGGTTAAAAATGCATATTTTTAACCTTGCTTTTTGGTAACTTTTTTGTCTTTATGTTTTTAGCATTTTGTGATATTCATCTTGAAAGGGGTTATATAAAGAAAAATTTACTTTTTTAATTACTTTTTGATTACTTTTAACCCAATGCACTTCATGACCTCTGGGCAGAAAAGAAGAGCAAAGTGGCTGACAGCTTTTGCACTAAAATATGCATTGGATCCCGTTCCTGTCCACAGCTGTGAGTTATCTTCAGCAGTGTCACTCTAGCAAACCTTTACTTGTGGTGAAGTAGGGTTGGACAAAATGACAAGGTATATCAAAGATACTAGATATCTGTCAATTAGCAGAATGGCTCTATTGCATGACCAGGTTTTTGTTAGTCTTGTTTTTTTTTTTATTTGTGCAAATAAGACACCACTGCAGAGTAACATCCTTTTTTTTTAACTTCATCATAATATTAGGGCTCTTAATGATTTCTTTAAACTCATATTTGTACAGCAACTGGAGACACAGTTAGGGAAGGTCTCTTTGAGCCATTTCTAAACAACTGCGGATTCCAAGATCATTGGTTCAAACAATTATACAATGTAAAAGTTACTCTCATGTGTCTGGAAGAAGACCCAAATCGTTACTCTCAGATGAGAGGAAACTGATTAGGATGTTCAGGAACAAACCAGGAACCTCCAAGGCTCAAGCCTGCCATGAACTGAAAGTTGCTGAAACACCAGTGTCACTGTCCACACTGGAGTGAGTTTTACAACACCATGGACTGAGAGAGCGCTAACCGAAAAAAGAAACCCCTGATCTAAAATCAACACCTTCAAGCTTGACTACAATTTACAGTTACTTTCAAACACAATAACACTATCAGGTGTCAAACATGGTGCTGGTAGCATCATGCTCTGCTGCCAGTGGTAGGGGTAAAGATAAAGCCTGAAATCAACAGATGGATAGTCGAAACTTGGACACAACTGAGTGTTCCAACAGGACAATGATCCCAAACACACATAAAAACTGTTATTGGAATGGATAAAGCAGGCCAACATTAAGCTTCTGGAATGGCCTTCCCAAAGCACCTACCTCAACTCTATTGACAATTTGTGGACTATGCTTAAAGGCCCGATCTGGATCCAACCAATTTAAATAAACTCTACTAATTCTACTAAGAAGAGAGTTCAAATATCCGTCTGGAAGTGTGCCAGAAGCTTGTTGGTGGCTACCAAGGCATCTGAGGTGCTGCTTGCTAAATCTTCGTGTGGGTGGATGTTTGTTTTTGACTCTGTATGGATTAGAGAAAATCCAAAATAAAGTTCTTACTTTGTTTCAAATAAATAATTAAAAGTCAAAAATTGCCATGACTTTCATGACGATGATGATCAATATTCTCGTAGGACTCAACATACTAGAGTCATCTCCTCATCTTAAACCAACAGTTAATCTTTTTCCATCATTACACCGATTAAACGGGATCTCTTTTACTTCCTCACTAATAAACCACTCCGCGCTGTCTAAACAGCTAAATCCCTAGAGTTTGTAGATTTGAACATGCAGCATGAATTATAAAGAAGTAAAATCACTGCTGGTACAGTTACTCTATACAAACTTCACGGGACATAAAACTCCAAGCGAGCGACGGTAGGAAACGAATGCGGCGGAGTGAAAGGCAGCCTGGACTGTGAAAGGCGCAGAGGGAACAGGGGAGGGGTAGGACGCTGCTGCTTTCACAAACTCATTTAAATGCCATTGACCTTTTGAACGGCTGCTATAGACGGATAAAAAGGAGACCCCTCTACAAACAGCCTGGCAGTCCATGCAGGAAACCCACCACACAGAGATGCGATCTTTGGGGTAGTTGAGTCTCTCCAGAGCTCCGAGGTAGTATGGCAGGGAGTGACCGGTATTTCTCGCTATGATAGCGATAACCACGGTTGGAGGCTGCATTTTCGACTCCTCTGGATACTTCTCCTCCGAAAAGTAACATTCAGTCTGAAAAACAAAGGCCCCCAAAGCTAGAAAGTGAAGTATCATGGTGGAGGCTGTTAAAGTTGGAAAGTAATCCGCGGGGCTCCGGAGCAGCACGTAGCCGCGGTACGCGTCAGCAGTCCAAGAAAAAAGGGCTTTCCCAAATGTTCAACCCCTTTCTTCATGTACAAGCTGGCCCCTTCTGAAGAGAAATGCAAACCCAATCCTAAAGCCAGAGAGGGTTATATTCCGCTGTAATAAACCTTTTCCTGTAGGAAAAAAAACAGAAAGAGGGGAAAGAGGCGTGATTTGGCCACACTGGTATTTACAGCGGTGGGATACCCTTGGAAAGATTAGAAAGATGGAGAATAAAGTTTTAAAGTTTAAGGTCGAACATCCTTAAAAATATCATTAAAATGTTCCCAGGGATAGAAATCGGTGGGGGGGTGCATTTAAACATGGCAATTTGTTAGTCAAAAATTTATTTATTTATTTATTGTTTTTGAGTAAACCAGTCACAGCCTTTTAAATATTCCGACCACAGTATGGGCATTTAGTCTGTATGTGTGATATTCTGATACATACAGCTGAAATAGAAAGGGATTTTGAATAAACCCAGCTTTGTCGTAATATGAAGCCAAAGAGTAGCAATTACAGAGATTCACCAGCAGAGGGAGGTTTTGATCCAAGAGAAGAATCATCATGTCGCGCACGTCTTCCTGAGGCCTTTGATCCTTTGGTTTTCTCAAATGCTGCAATTAGGATCAATTACGAGGTTATTTTTACATTTATTATTTTATTCTACTTAATAGTTATCTTTTCGAGACGTTCTCATCGTATGTCACCTTCCACTACATTCACTCATGCTATATAGTACTTATTTGCATGCATATAATAGTTGCAAGGTCAGTTTTACTCTGTTGACATTTGCCTTATAAGAAACGCAGTGTCTGCTACAGAGACACTGAGGCTTCATGAACAAAAAACAAAAATAACAAAAATGAAAACAAGTGTAAATGTTTTTAAGGGACATGTTCAACCTAATATTCATTGTAAATCTTTACATTTAAATACTATAGAGCTTTGACAGAGAAAGTTGGGAAGTTTGTGGTTTTAATCAAAGGGGAGCTTCCAAATTTTAAACACAGCTTGTAACATCATTTTCCATTTTGCACTGTGGCTCTTATTTATTGCAGTCCTAGAGCTTCGAGTGGCCTGTTGACAAGAGAAGATGTACAGTAGCCTGGGTGTTCCTCAGTATATTAAAGAGTCAAAGGTCATCTTGAATGTATTGAGTGTCAGTATGTGGGCAATAGAAAATTCATGGCCAATAGCCAAGTAGAAGATGCAGGGGCAGACAGATGCATTGGCTTCAGGGTGTAGGTGTGGCGGGAGAGCAGATTAAAACAAAGGATTAAAACACACTCGTACGGGGGGAAATAAGCACATATACACAGTTAGATCTTCAATTGTATTTTTCGTCTAGAACAACAGTAGAAAATAAACATGAAAAGATGTGCTTGCTCCCATGGGGCTAGTGAGTATAAGGAGGCAAATGTTTTAAAAACTGATGCTCAGAGTGCTCGGCATACAAGGGAAAATTCACTTGTATGTAAGATGGACAGGACAGAGGTTGTGCGAAAAGGGGACTGATGGGAACAGACAAAAGAGAATGGAAACGATGGAAAGGGCAGTGGAGAGAAAAAATAAAGAATGGGGAGATGCATTAGTGTGGGTGGAAAATAATAAGCAAAGTCGTATATAATGAATTTTGGCTCTTTTGGCGGGCTCTGTGAATAAACGAAGGCAGTCAAGGCTGACAATGGCAGACTTGGGGCATAGGAGTTGTTTGTGTGGACAGGTCACAAGGGTTGAGGGTCAAATCTCTCCTATTCATGACACCCCAAGTGTTGCCACGCTCACACACACAAAAACACACGCACGCTCATGTGCACGCATACACGTATGTCAGGCTCACTTTCTCAGCGCTTGTGGCTGCAGCTGATCTGGGAGAGTTCAACCTCGGGTGCACTAACTTTTCACTGCAGGGTCAAGGGTGGAGGTGGCGTTTGTGTGTGAATCGGGGACAGACGGACAAGAAAAGCGAGAGAATGACAAAAAGAAAATCTTCATTGTTTTGACCAGATTGCAGCAGAGACCGCAAAAGAAAGCTGCAGCGACACCAGGACTGTGCATGCACGCATACAAAATATACGTAAATCACCTCAAATGTTAGCCATCAATACTCATAGCTTTAGCTCTATTTGTGCAGGTTGCAAGATACTCACAACTCTCATATCTATACAGAACGCACATGTCCTAACTGGTCACGCAGCCTCTATTCTATCTTTAATCTTTTCTTTGCTGGGCCAGGAAATTCTTGTCAGCGTGAGCGAATGATTGGCTGTAAGTTTGGATGTGACAAAGTGTAAGTGTTTCTGTTTTTGTGTGTTGGGACCAAAACTGGTGGGCAGCACAGAGTCGTGACATTCTCGCAAGCTTCTGGGACCTTTATTGCTGTGGCAATAATCAATAGCGTTCCCACAGAGACGTCTTTTGGCTGGGCAGGTCAATACCTGTCACTCAGGGGCTCAGTCATGGCACAGACCCTCTTACTCAGCAGCTACGGCAGCCTCGCTCTGTCTGCTCCCCACCTCGCATGTCCTCCTGCATGTGTCTCAGGAGTGTCATGTTTGCACAGTTTAAGGAGCTGTGCGGTTCATTTGAAATCATATCCAACTGAGTATCCGCTTTTTTTTTTCTTTGCACAGAGTCCAATAAAACAGCCACAACAACAGCTACCATTATTGTTTAATCTCCAGAATATTGTCATTTTAAACATAATTGGGTTTGGTTTAAAATTATATGGTGCTGTTGTTAAATTGTTGTTTTCAGTATTTTGTTTTCATCTTTAGCACAAAACACCTGTTTAAGTTATTTGTTAGGTTGGAGTCTGATTCATTGTGCAATCAAAACTCATCTTTCCAAAGTAAATTTTCATGAAGTGCAACCGATATTGCAGTTTTAAGTAAGCAAGTATGTTTGTTAGCCAGCACATGTTTGCTAACGGAGTTAAGTTTTACATGGAAGTAGCTCAGTTTTAAAGATGCATATCAGATGGATTTTTAGGAATCCTTACATTTACTGTTAGGAAATAATATCAGAAAATTATGTTCAGCATTTTAATTGCAATGTTGTTATTCTAGGCCTTGGATCCATGTTTTCCCCAAGAGTTTTACAGGTACTCGTTTTGTTGAAGTCTGACTGAAACGAGCATGTCTGGAATCATTTACAAACCTGCATTTCATTTCATTTTTAACTTCACAACACTCAGTCTTACAGATGTGATTTTCTGATTGTAGCTGGCAATATGAAGAGGGGATGCTCTGGAGGTGGCAACAGTGCAGATAAACTGACTACTGGGCCAAACAGCAGGTGTGTGTGTGTTTTCCCAGGTGCTGTTTGACTAAAACACTTAAACAGAATTGCTTCAGTAGAAAAGGACTAGAATACCTGAAGTCCTGTCTTCATGCAACACCACCAAGTCAGCACAAACAACCTCAGGCTCAGACCGAACGCTCAGAATGCTGGAGGTAATGTGATTAAAGAGGTCAGTGACACATGGTCACATCTGTTCTAATTAATTTTTTTTTAAAAGCAATCAATTATTTTGATGTCATTTATTTTTTTATTGGTCGTTTTAATATAATCGATTAAGATACCTGTCAAGTTGATTCATTTTACAGAAGATGATCGCAGTTACACTGACATTGAGCCAGTTTGGTTTAAAGTGAAATAGACATTTTAAACTGAATTGAGTCAACAATGAAACATCAAGGATTTTGATTTTATTCATTTTTTAAGACATTATACTTAAATGTAATTTCATCTGAAGATGTTGACAGTAACAGGAATAATGAGTAAGACCCGGTGTTATTTTTTAAATAAAATAACATTTTTAATTGGAAAAAAAAATTGAATAAAGTGGTGTTTGGATTTTCAGTCGACATTCTCCTTTTTATTGCACAAATGTGAAGATTTCCAGGATGCAGGACAATGTCAAAAAAATTGACAAGTTTCTCTTAATGGATTTTTTTAATTTGAATATACTAAATAAACCTTCAATAGATTGGCAACCTGTCCAAGTGTGTTCAACCTTTTGCGCTAAGACAGCTTCCCCAACACAAAAGACAATGGATGGATGGATGGATGGATGGATGGATGGATGGATGGATGGATGGATGGATGGATGGATGGATGGATGGATGGATGGGGATACTCTGCATTGCCATCTGTTCCAACATCCCTCCAGCAGTTATAACCTTTACATGGTGCTTCATTACTAAGACTGGATGGACTTCCTTAAACTCAAGAAGAAGCAGCAGCATCATGTGACATGTTTACAAACCTCTACCAACGAAGATCTCAAACTAGCTCACATCTCTTCTCTATTTAAATAAAGGAAGTCCAGTACATGATTAACCTTAGATATTACCCCTGTGCACCAACCTTGATAACCTGGTTTGAGGTAGCCTACAACACACTTTTCAGAAGCGATGAAACATCCTCAGACTGAGACATTCATTCATGAAGATCTTAAAACTTCATTATCTGAGTTTTTTTGTTAATATCATGCAGCTGTTTTCCTTCAGTGTCTTGTTCTGTTGTTTTTGTCTGCTGGTTGTGTTCTCCCATTCATTTCAGCTTTTATCGTTGCAAAGGATATGTTCATTTTTGCCTGGTTAAATAAAGATTAAAATCTAAAATATATATAATGCAAATTTTTCATGACTTGCAAAACTCAGCAAAATTGGTACAACTGCGCAACTGAGTCATTTTTCTTTTAGTCGTTCAAAATTTGACATAAAAAACAAATTATTGGATATTTTTGATCACCCTGTTGCCCCCATGATCTGTACAGTCTCAGTGAGAATAGTGCAGACTTCCTTGCTTCTCATCGTCTCCGTTGCTCCCTGGATGACGCTGTCCGTCTCCCCGTTGCCAAGCAACAGAGCAGCCACTGTCAAAGAATTCTGGGGGATGTTTAGGCAGCGGCATGCTGAGGGGGAAGGAGTGTGTGTGTGTGTGTGTGAGAGTGTGTGTGTGGCTGTGATGGTGGCAGTGAAGAAGTAAGAGGGTAAAGCGAGTGTATTTGTCTGAGTGCAGAGTCGAAGGATGCACTCAGTTTTGCACTTACAGGAGAATTTTCTCTTAATCTTTTCATTTCAGCCTTTACACCACTTGGTG